GGCTCAGGCGATTCTCGTGCCTCAGCCTCCTGAGTTGCTGGGATTACAGACGTGCACCAACATGACCAGCTAATTTTTCTATATTTAGTAGAGACAAAATGGTCACAGGTTGGCCAGTGACCTCAAGTGATCCGCCTGTCTCAGCCTCCCAAAGTGCTGGGATTACAGGCATGAGCCATCGTGCCCTTCCTATTTATCGTTTATTGGCTGCTTTCCCCTCCTAGAAGAGAAGTTCCACGAGAGCAGGAATTTTTACATTTTTAGCAATACATCTCTGGTGCCTGGCACATAGTCAAAAGTCCTTGCTGTCAAGGAGTTTATTATTTTAGAAGGGAGTAAGCTGTGAAGACATTTGGGAAAATCATCTTCCAGGTACTCAGAGGATACTGGGTGAAAAAACAAAGGCACAAAAGAGCTACCAAAGAGCATCATGATCAAAATGGAATTGCAGAAAGATCACGAACAGGATTTTAGAGAATGAATTGGAAACAGGGAATGAATTCAGAGGTACGATGGAGGCAATAATACACCCTCATGTAACAAGTGGGTTCGTGCCTTAAAAATCACCTCCAAATCCCACATTGATAAAGGGAGGCTGAAAAGGTTAAAAAGAAGAGAAAAAGAGAAAGAAGGAGGAGGAGGAGGAGGGGAGGAGGAGTAAGAGGAAGAAGAAGGAGAAAGAGGAGGAGGAGGAGGAAAAGAAGCCAGGCCTAGTGGCTCACCCCTGTAATCTCAGCCTCGATGAGTGAATCACCTGAGGTCAGGAGTTTGAGACCATCCTGACCAACATAGTGAAACCCCCATCTCTGCTACAAATACAAAATTAATTCGGCGTGGTGGTACATGCCTGTAATCCCAGCTACTTGGGAAGCTGAGGCAGGAGAATTGCTTGAACCTGGGAGGCAGAGGTTGCAGTGAGTTGAGATTACGCCATTGCACTCCAGCCTGGGCAATAAGAGAAAAACTCCATCTCAAAAAGAAAAAAGAAAAGAGGGAGAGCTAAGGACCCTGGAAACCGGCAACACTTCAGAGCCACGTGGAAGAAGCAGTGCCCCCTAGAGAAAAAGAGAAGAGGTCAGAGCAGCAGGAAGTAGAAGAAAAATCAAGAATAGCATTCGGCAAATGAAGAAGAAGAAAGTTTCAAGAAGAAGGTTGTCAGTGTCAGATCAGGCATGGAGGCTAATCCAGCACTTTGGGAGGCCAAGGCTGGAGGGTCACTTGAGCCCAGGAGTTCGAGACTAGCCTAAGCAACATGGTGAGACCTCATCTCTACAAAAAAAAAAAAAAATTAGCTGGGCATAGTGGCACATACCTACAGTCCCAGCTACCTGAGAGGCTGAGGTAGGAGGATCGCCTGAGTCCAGGAGATTGAGGCTGCAGTGAGCTGTTATCACACCACTGCACTATAGCCTGGGCAATAGAGTGAGACCCTGTCTCAAACAAACAAACAAACAAAAAACACTGTCAGTGTCAAACAATACAGTTAATCCAGTTAATTAAAAACTGGAAAGTATTGAATGGATTTAGTAGGAAGTTATTGGTGACTTTGGCAAAGGCAAGCTCAGAGGAACTGTGAGAGCAAATGCCAGATGGCATTGTGTTTCGGAGTGAAATGCAAAGGGAAGAATTAGAGAAGCAAATGTAGACCATCCTTTTCCAGCAGCTTGGCTATAAAGAAGCAGAGAGAAATCGGGAGCTACAGAGGGGAACAGGGTAGAAGGAGAGGCTGAAGCATGGGCGTGAGTGAAAAGAAAGATCCATCAGAAAGAAGATAAAGACGGAAGAGACAGATGAGGCAGGCGGGGCTGAACTTCAGAGCACAGGTCTCAGGAGAAAGGCGTCTCCTTCACTTGAAGGAAAGAAGGAAGGATGGTGACAGAGAGAGATGGAATGGCGAAAGATAAGTCTGACAGAGCTCTCTAGTCCCTTTTCATATATTCACTCAATGTCTGGTGGTACTGATCAAGCGCAGTGCCCAAACCAGACTTGCCTGATTTCCTGATGGTCATTCTCCCTTCCTGGCTTTTTTGCGTTCAGTATCTTTCCATCTTGGGCCACAGGGGTGGGTTGAAACTCTTTAGAGACTTTGATGAACCCCAGTCACTTTCATTGGTCCTGCTCCTCTAATCCCATGACTTTTGCACTTCCCTTTAACTATTTGCTATCTGGGGACCCCAGACAGATGAAGCAGTGCAGGAGCATGGAACAAGACACCGAACTAATTCTGAGAAAGGAGCAACCTTAGCAAATCCTCTCTCGTCCTGGGATGTCACCCCATACCACCTATGGTCTGCACTGTCCATAAAACTCGTGGTTGAATGTGCTCCTGTGTGTCCTCCCATTATTTGAGATCAGCATTCTCTCCCTCATCAATACCAGGTCTTTATTAAACACCTACTGTGGGTGGGTTGCCAAGGTTTTTCATCTTAACAAAGACAGAGTATATGTGTAAGTATATGATATATATATAGTGCCTAAATATAAACACTTATGCAAATATATACATATGCATAGATATAACACACATCATAAATAAAAAAATACTAGAAGGTAGCAGAAACTGCAAAGTGAGTTATCTAGGCAAACAGAATCTATTGTGGAATCCAGATATTATCCTACAAAAATGTGGAGCCACTGAAGGTTTTAGAATGAAGACTGACTTGTACCATATTTTTATATATTTTTACAATTAATTTGGAAGAACTGTATAGATCAATTTGAAAAATAAAAGGTAGAGATAATTCAGACACTATTTTGTGATACTTGAGGTGAGAGTGATAAAAAGCTATATCTTTTTTTTTTTTTTTTTTTTTTTTTTTTGAGACAGAGTTTCGCTCTTGTTACCCAGGCTGGAGTGCAATGGCGCGATCTCGGCTCACCGCAACCTCCGCCTCCTGGGTTCAGGCAATTCTCCTGCCTCAGCCTCCTGAGTAGCTGGGATTACAGGCACACGCCACCATGCCCAGCTAATTTTTTGTATTTTTAGTAGAGACGGGGTTTCACCATGTTGACCAGGTTGGTCTTGATCTCTTGACCTCGTGATCCACCTGCCTCGGCCTCCCGAAGTGCTGGGATTACAGGCTTGAGCCACCGCGCCCGGCCTATACCATCTTAAAAAGTGTATGCAGTGAGGTGCTGGCAGTGGGGATGGAAAGAAGTTGGTTTCTGCCTGGATATGGAAAGAGAGAAAGGAGGCCAGCAGCACTGTAAGGTTTCCTGCAGGAGGGAAAAAGAGAATGAGGATACTCTGGAGACAATCAAATAGGAAAATTCAGAGAGTGCAGTTTAGTGAGCAAAGAAGTTCAATGGAGTTTAAGCTATATGGGACTTGGCGATAGGAACACATCTGAGCTTAGATCTAGCAACCGATGACAAAAGCTCCGGGAGACATCAGTACTGGCAGTGTGGGCCTGGGAATCATCCGCAGCAGAGATGCAGGGGCAAAGGTAGAAGATGAAACGGAGAAAGAGGAACTAGTGAGGATGGAGGATAGAGAAGCAGCCCAAGAGACAGAAGGCAAGGAGGGTGGAATATTTCACAAGCCTAGGAGGAGGCAAGTTTTAAGGATAAGGAAGCACAAAACAACTGTAAATAGTAAGAAGACTGCCTGTTGAGAAAAGGCCAACGACATGGTCGCTCAGGATCTACAAGGAAGTCTCATTCGGAAGGAGGGGAGGAAAAAATGGGTGGGGATGGTTATAAAAAGACGATGATAAAAGCCGACAGTGAGACCACTCCTTGGAGACGCAGGGTGGTGAGAACCACCAACGTTCATACGTTGAAGGGGAGCTGGGTCAAATGACGATTTGCTTCCCCTTTTAGGACTTCATCAGAACTCTCCGCAGAAAAACAGACTGACTGAAACAGGAGGGGTAAGGTTTTCAGGAAGCAGGACAGGTTGGGATAAAAAAACAAAGATCTTGAGAAACTAATCTTGGCCCTAAAGAATGGCAATTAGGAGAGGCATGAGAGGAGGTGTGAAGAATCTGGATTTTTAAAGTAGAAAGGTGAGGCAGTTCTTAAACTGAGAAAAGAAAGGTAGAGGTGGCCAGGCGCAGTGGCTCATGCCTGTAATCCCAGCACTTTGGGAGGGCGAGGCGGGCGGATCACCTGAGGTCAAGAGTTCGAGAGTAGCCTGGCCAACATGGTGAAACTCCATCTCTACTAAATACAAAAAAATTTTCAAGCGTGGTGACACATGGCTGTAATCCCAGCTACTCAGGAGGCTGAGACAAAAGAATTGCTTGAACCCTTAAACCCTGGAGGCAGAGGCAGCAGTGAGCTGAGATCCTGCCACTGCACACTGGATTCCAGCCTGGGCAGTAAGAGCAAAACTCTGTCTCAAAAAAAGAAAAAAAAAAGGAAAGGTAGAAGTAGCCAGGATATAATCTTAGACATGGCATCATAAGTCTGTGTTCAAGTTCCAGATATGCTAACTTGGGCTGGTCGTCCAAGGGTTGGCAAGATCTCGTTGAGGCCATTTCCTTACAAAAATTGTTAAAGGTTAAATGGGATACTGCTAAATGAGATACTGCACGTGTAAATTATAAAGCACTTCTCAAACAAGAGAAGCTTGAAACTACCACGAGAAATGTGATACAGCATGAACAAGAGATAAAGTAAAGCCCAGCCAAGCAGCAGGGAACGGAAAGGTGAAGCTCAAAGCAAGAATATATAGCAAACCTAAATCCACACAGTTTTTGTGATTTCCTCCAGCCTACTGGAGTGGAGAACGCAGATTCTGAGTGAGAGTCGATGCAAGAAGAACAAGAGGCTGAAAAAAATCTAGGTAAGGACTATTTAAAAATCTTTGGGGATATGCTTACATTTGGAAATTACATGCAAAATTTACATAAAAGTGGCATTTGACTCATTGGCGTGTTTTATTTTGGAAATGGCCGAACATTTCATCTTTATATTTTACAGGGTTTTTTTTTTTCATATTTTGGGGTTAACTTTTTTTTCAGATTCTGTATTTTTAAAAGCTTAGGCTCCAGACAGTATGCCTTGAGCACGAACCGAGTAATGAAGGCATCAGTGCCACAGCCGCCCACTGGGTCCAAATTAAGCAGGGAAGGTCATGAACAAAGAACGCAGTGACGGCCCAGCAGACAGGCTGACGCGACTGCAGGTAAGAACAGGTGGAGGGGAAGGGAGCGGCGGTGACCGTTTTTGGGATTTTGGGACAACCAGGAGCCTCCTGGTAAGTACAGAGAAGGCAGCCGTGTAATTCCGGTTAAAGGGGTGGGACGTGCTCCTCTTCCCGATTAGTTTGGAGCCCACAAAGCGCCTGCCCCTCACTGCCACCGTCCACTGTCCCATTGTGACTGAGCAGGAGCCCTCCGTGATGGACTGGTTACAGACAGCGGGTCCGATGTGATCAGCTCGTTTCCGTTACACACAACCGTGGAATCCTGGATGACAAACATTCCTTCTTCCCGGACAGGGAAACGAAGCCTGCCCGAGCCCGGGCAAGGACGGTGGCGCTCCCCGGGCCGGCTCGGAACGAAATCCGAGACCTCGGCTCCACGGTCTCCCCAGCCGGCCCCCGGCACGCGAGCCTGACACGCCCTCACCCCGGGAAAACACCCGAAGCCAGGGAGCCGCGGGAGCGCGTGGACCCCGCACGCTAGGGCTGGGGGCGCCTGGGAGCTGCGACAAGCTCCGGAGGACAAAGGCGGCCTCGCGGCCTCACGCCGGCCTGGAAGAGAAACGCCTGGCGCCCCCGGGCGGCCGCGGCCTGGAGAGCCGGAAGAACGCCTCGCACGCCCAGCGCCGGGCCAACGGACGGTGCCATCCACCAATGGGAGGGCCCAGTCTGCGTCCGCGGGACCCGTCCGAGGGGAGAAGACGGCCGTCCCTGCGGCAAATCAGAGTGGTCCCGAGGCCTCTCTGGTCACCACGGAGATAGCGGGACAGTCCCTGTGAAACAGTGACGCCGGCTACACTGTGTCGCTCGCTCTCAGCCTCGGCCTTTCCCTCCCCGCCGCGCGCCGAGCCCTTCGGCCGCCCCGCCCACAGCCTTGTTAGGCCCGCCCCCCACGTGAATGGACTGGCAAAGATGTGGCATTACCGAAGCTTATTGGATGCTTAGTGGCGTCACTCTGGAGGGCCGCCCCTCTCGGATGGTGATTGGCCTCGCCGGAGTAGAGCGGGCTGGGATTGGTGCGAGGCGGGGCGAGAGCCCGCGGGCGTCCGGGGCCCAGGCGCGGGGGAGGCGGTCGCCGCCGGGACGCCGGCGGGGGTGCTTCGCGGAGGGAAGGAGCAGGAGCGCTCCTGCCTGGGGCGGGGGCGAGGGCAGGGGCGGCGCTTGTCGCGTGTGGGTCGCGGTGGAGCGGGCGGCGGGAGGGGGGTGGCAGCGGAGGGACCGAGACGGGCAGGGGTGACTGTTGGCAGCAGGACCGGCTGGAGACCTAGGCCTGGAAGCGCCTCCGGGGAGGGTCGGGGGGAGGAGGAGGCCGTGGGCGTGTCTGGTATGGGATGCGGTGGAGCGGAGGGGGCCCTCCTGAGCAGATCCGTGGGTGGTTCCTTGGAGGAAGCCTCCTCTTCCCCTCTGCCTGTTTATTTGCCAGCGAGGGAGTCCCCATGGTCTCTGTTCAAGTTCTGGAAACTTTCTCTTTGGGTGGGCTTAATCACCTGCGACTTCGTCGTAGAACTGCCCGGGGTCTTTTCTGATATTGGTCACAAACGTGGGGAGTATGTCAGAAAACAGGAAGCCGCTGCTGGGCTTTGTAAGCAAACTCCCCGGTGGGAGTGCACTTGGGAACTCAGGCAAGACTCACTGCCCCTTGTGCAGGGGGCTTTTCAGAGCCCCCAGGCTCTTGCCTTGTTTGCATACAGTTTGCACCACGTGTCTGGAGCAGCTGGAGCCCTTCTCAGTAGTGGACCTCAGAGGGGGAGACTCCGACACAAGCTCTGAGGGGTCAGTATTCCAGGAACTCAAACCACGAAGTCTGCAGTCGCAGATCGGCATCCTCTGTCCGGTATGTGATGCTCAGGTGGACCTGCCCATGGGTGGAGTGAAGGCTTTAACCATAGACCACCTGGCCGTGAATGATGTGATGCTGGAGAGCCTGCGTGGGGAAGGCCAGGGCCTGGTGTGTGACCTGTGCAACGACAGGGAAGTAGAGAAGAGGTGTCAGACCTGCAAAGCCAATCTCTGCCACTTCTGCTGCCAGGCTCATAGGTAAAGATGGGACACTCCACCAGGTGTAGCTTAAGAGGAAGTACAAAGAGATGTCAAGAGAGAAATCCCTTGGTGAGGAGATGAAAAGGAGAGCCTTCTCAAATACCACGGAAGGTCAAAGGGCAGTATAAGGATGCAGCAGCACATACTCTGGCACAATAGTTAACCCGGTCAGCCTTATATAGTACCTATAGTAATAGCAATAGAGGTTTGCATAATCTTTTTCAATTTCCAAAGTGCAGCTACAGTTTCCTTCAGTCATCAGTCATTCGTGTAGTGAATAATTGTACTGGGTGCAGGAGAAACAGGAGAATGTATATAATAGCATAGATCCTGCTCTTGATCTTGTTTGATCTTGCAACTCTTTCAGAAAAGCAGGCACTGTTCCCCATTTATTAATTGGGGAAACTGAGGCTCAGCAATATTAATGTGATTTGCCAAGGTCCGATAGTTGGTAGGGGTGTAACAGAACTGGATATTGAATCTAGATCATTTTGACCACATTCCACTAACCCATGCTACCCTCCTGGAATAGGAGAATAGAATAGAATACGTGATGCTTGCTTGGACCTCAGCTTTTGCTTTGTACCTTAGAGTTACTCTGGAGCTTGGTGAGGTGAGCTTGTAGGTGTTAACTGGGATGCAGACTGTGTCTTTTATGGCATTTGGTGAATAGTTTGCCAGACGGATCACTTTTGTCCCTTCTCACCTTCCTTACTCCATCCTAGGACACGAAAATATAAAATGACGACAGTTTTAGGATCAGCCTAAAATAGATTTCAGGTTCTAACTTCCATTTGTTTTCTGGCCACACTAACAGAACAAGTTTGTAGACTTCACTCTATTTTTAACTTGCAATTATGTGATAGTCCCTGCAGCTGTCTTGCTGCCAGCCAAACCAGCTGACCCTATTTTCTCTGCAGCTACTCTTCTGGTGCCAGAATAGGCACCTAAGCTTCCAATTGTTATAATGCTAATGGAGGAACTCTAAACAGTCACCATGTTTTCCTAGGGATTTCCCTGAATCTCTAGAGGGCTATTACAGGAAAGGAATTAAAAAGAGAGCTTTGATTCTACTAACCATTGGTTTCACACTCTTTTCTTTCTTTTTTTTTTTTTTTTTTTTGAGATGGAGTTTCACTCCTGTTGCCCAGGCTGGAGTGCAGAGATGCGATCTTGGCTCACTGCAACCTCTGCCTTCCGGGTTCAAGTGATTCTCCTGCCTCAGCCTCCCGAGTAGCTGGGATTACAGGTGTGTGCCACCATTCACGGCTAATTTTTTGTATTTTTAGTAGAGATGGGGTTTTACCATGTTGGCTAGGCTGGCCTCAAACTCCTGACCTCAGGTGATTCACCCATCTCAGCCTCCCAAAGTGTTGGGATTTACAGGCATGAGCCACTGTGCCTGGCCGGTTTCCCGCTTTCCAATAATGTTGATGGTGTCTCTTGAAAAAAATTCTAGCCTGCTGATTTGGGTAATATAGGTACTGGACAATAGAAATGCTTTACAGAAATCTTAGATGCAAGCTAGATGAGATTCTGTGTCAGGACCAGCTAGCTGCATTTTAATCGCTTGGACTTTATTGCTGTGTTACCTGGCATGGCTTCTGTTTCTTGGTGCTAGTTTTCTGCCATGCCCTCACTGCCAGCTTACCTTAGGAAGCAGACGGTGGCTCTTGTCTGAACTCTCTGGGGAAAGTTCTAGCATGCAGTCGCAGTCTTGCGACCTTCTACAAAGGTATGGATCAAGCCAGAGCCCTGGTCTGTTCACATGTTATTGTAGACAACAGCCCTTTCAGGCAGGGTGTGTCCCCACTGTACAGATGAGGAACAGGAATCAGAGAGGATCATGCAACTAGAGGTTAGAGCAAGGAATTGAAATAAAAGTTGTTTAACTTCAGAGCCTGTGCTCCTAAAACCTCTCTGCCCAACTATTCCCAACTAGAATTGTTCCCTTACCTCCTGTTATTGACTCTGTTTGCCCCTAGGCGGCAGAAGAAAACGACTCACCATACCATGGTGGACCTAAAAGACCTGAAAGGCTACAGCCAGATTGGGAAGCCCATCCTCTGTCCTGCCCACCCTGCGGAGGAACTGAGGCTGTTCTGTGAGTTCTGTGACCAGCCCGTGTGCCGGGATTGCGTGGTGGGGGCGCATCGAGAACACCCCTATGACTTCACCAGCAATGTCATCCACAAGCATGGGGACTCCGTGCGGGAGCTCCTCAAAGGTACTCAGCCCCACGTGGAAGCCCTGGAGGAGGCCCTGGCTCAGATCAGGACGATGAACAGTGCCCTCCAGAAGCGAGTGGAGGTAGTGGCAGCTGACGTCCGGACATTCTCAGAGGGCTACATTAAGGCCATTGAGGAGCATCGGGACAAGCTGCTGAAGCAGCTGGAAGACATACGGGTCCAGAAGGAAAATTCCCTGCAGCTGCAGAAGGCCCAGCTGGAACAGTTACTGGCAGACATGCGGACTGGTGTGGAGTTCACCGAGCACTTGCTGACCAGTGGCTCAGACTTGGAGATCCTCATCACCAAGGGGGTGGTAGTAGAACGGCTCAGGAAGCTGAACAAAGTGGAATATAGCACCCGCCCTGGAGTAAATGATAAGATACGCTTCTGTCCTCAGGAGAAAGCAGGCCAGTGCCATGGCTACATGATTTATGGGACCATTAATACCAAAGAGGTTGATCCAGGCAAATGTGTCCTACAAGGAGAAGGTAGGAAGGCATTTCCCATGGACACTGAGAGGACAGTGGGCAGGGAGATGGTGTGTAAAGATTGGTGGCTCGTTCTCCTAGGAAGCCCACGTTACTGACCAGGTTACCAAAGGTGGGGAGATAAACTGATCTAAAAGACAGTGACCCCCAACTTTGCTCTTTCTGATTTGTTCTGGTTAGGGTACAGTTAATACTCAATACAGGAGTGAGGCTTGACCCTGTTCCAGTTCAGAGAAGTAGGAACGGCCGAGAAATGCAGAGATCATGTTTTGTTTCTATCAGATGGCAGAACAGACAGTGCCCGTTGGAGGTAAGAGCAGCGCTAGGGCCAGATGAAATTATGCCTGCTCAGAGAGGAGCACGGCAGGCCCTGGATGGCTCAGATCAAGTTCTGAAGGGGGTTTCAGATGAATGAGGAAGATGAGATGACGGCTTCCTTTCTTTTAAGCCCTTTTGGTTCACATCAACCTTACTGGCATTTAAAAGGCTATGGTAGGTGTTTCATTTAGTTGGGGGGAAAATGGTTTCTTTTAACCAGCGTTTCCCTTTCTAATGGAAGCATGTTATTCAAACATAAAGTCAGTCCTGATAGGAAGATTGTATCTTAGAATCATCCGACTCTGACACAGGCATTCTTAACTGTTTGGAAGTCATAAATCTCTTTGAGAATGTTGTCTCCTACAGAAAAAACCAGTAACTGGGACATACAATTCCAGATTTTTAGACTCTTCATAAGCCTTTCCATAGACCTCGTAGTAGTTAATGAACCCCAGGTTAAGAAACCCTGTTTCATCTGAATGCTGGAGTAGGGACTGTAGCTACTGGATACCCCGCCACCACACCTTGGCATGAGCTACCAAGTTGCAGGGGATCTCACAAGGTGGAGGTTCGTGAGGCTGGTCAGCTGTACCCCCGGCCTAGCGCAGCAGGAGCCGGAGCCTGGCTGGGTGATTTTGGTGTTACTAACCTCTCTTATAGGGTCTAAAGCAGGTGTCCCCCAACTTTTTACACAGGGGGCCAGTTCACTATCCCTCAGACCGTTGGAGGGCCGCCACATACTGTGCTCCTCTCACTGACCACCAATGAAAGAGGAGCCCCTTCCTGAAGTGCGGCGGGGGCCAGATAAATGGCCTCAGGGGGTCGCAGTTTGGGGACACCTGGTCTAAAGGTTTTCTTCTCTAAATACCTAAGTCAGCCCTGAGTATTTTTAAAGCCTCCTAGGACTGAAGGTAAGGTCCAGGATCATGTGTGATCCAAAGCGGCTGCTAGCCGAGAGAACCAGTCTCACTAGGAAGGACTCCTAAGAGGTGTACTCTGGGAGGCAGAAGGGGAGCGAAAAGAAAGGGAGCCCGGGTGGTTACAGTAAACAGGAGAGCACAACCCTTTGTTCTGAAGAGAAAAAGCAAGATGGAGATGTAGCTGCTGCAGTTTGCATTTGAGGTGAGGATCACTGTTTTATCTTTTTCAGATCTCCACAGAGCCCGGGAGAAGCAGCCAGCCTCTTTCACCCTGCTTTGCAAGGATGCCGCAGGAGAAATCATGGGCAGGGGAGGAGACAACATTCAAGTTGCCGTTGTCCCTAATGACAAGAAAGACAGGTTTGTATGAGACACACTTAGGTGTCATGGATAACAGGCCGTGAGGAAACTGGAAACGTGAGGTCCTTTAAGATATCGGGGCCGGGTGTGGTGGCTCATACCTGTAATCCCAGCACTTTGGGAAGTGGAGGCAGGAGGATCACTTAAGCCCAAGAGTTCAAGACCAGCCTGAGCAACATAGGGAGATCCCGTCTCTACAAAACTAAAAAAAAAATTAGCCGGGCATAGTGGCATGCACTTATAATCCCAGCTATTCAGGAGGCTGAGATGGGAGGATCCCTTGAGCCCAGGAGGTTGAGGTTGCAGTGAGCTGTGATTGCGCCACTACACTCCAGCCTGGGTGACAGAGCAAGATCCCAGCTCAAAAAAAAAAAAAAAAAAAAAAAAAAAACAACATAATGGAGTGTAACTCAGTGGTTACATCTTACCTCCCCATGAGGCTATGAAAGAAATGTTATATGACCAAATGTGTTTTCTTGTGTGGGTTTTGTATTCAGTTCACTCTCAAAGCTGCGGTCTGCCCCTCAGATTATTTTCATCTCAAGCTTTAGAATAGATTGAAAAATCTTCTGTGGTTAGGCTGAATGGTACCCTTTTCAAAATTCAGCCTCCCTTTGCTACTAAATTATGCCTGGAGCATGTTTATATTTCTCTGGAATTGGAGTATGGAGAAGGGACAGCAGAGCAAGAGGGTTCAACAGAAGCTTGTTGAAAAGGACACAATAATATATTCAAGGAAATTTGTCTGAATATCAGACTAAATTGGAATCTATGCTGTTTACCTTCTGTTGTATAATTAACTTGTGAAGCAAATGAAAGAAATACCCTGTTTGGGGTTATTTAACATGCATATTGAATGGAATGGTATAGAGTTTACATTCTGAAATAGTAGCAACTGAAGCTGGCTTGTGGGAGTGAGTGGTGTTTTTTGACCCTTTTCTCCATTCAGCCCAATCAGAACGATGGTCCGGGATAACAAGGATGGGACATACTACATTTCCTACACCCCCAAGGAACCTGGCGTCTATACTGTGTGGGTCTGCGTCAAGGAGCAGCATGTACAGGTAAGACTGGTGCACGTGCCTCCCTGAGCTCCCCTCACCCTGGTCCTCTGGGTGCTATTGTCTTAGGATCTGGAGACATTTTACATAGGATCAGCTATACAGAGAGACTGAATAGAATCCCCTGGTATTCTTCTTCACTTCAGAAACAGCCAAGATTTTGCTGCTACTCTTCTTAGAGGATGCTGTTGACCGTAAGAACCCTCTATCTCTGTGTCACTTCCTGGCAATTATGAGTTATGCTTATAGTTTATCCTTCTCCCAGTTGGTTTCTTAGGATTCTTAATATGGAGAAGATGTCTTGATCACAGGAGGTGATCTGCCAGCAGACAACCATGCATATTCAAAAAATATAATCTAGCTCAGAATTTTCCTGCTTTGTCCAGACTGGACGTGAACACAGTTGGGAGGGTTATGCCCCTCCTCACAACCGACTAGTGATCTATCTGCCTAACCATCTGCCCATGTCATTTTCTACTCTGTTTTACATAGAGGTTTTTCTGTTACTATGGTTACCATAAACAAACAAATATACCAAACAAGTTGTGTTACCATGGTTACTACAAACAAGTGTAACACAAACAAGTAGAGCAGTTTCTGCTTTAGAGATTATGAGTTTTTTAAAATTGGGTGACACTCACAGGTCCAGCAGAGTCTCTCTGCTGACACTGTCAGGGGTTTCCCTCCACAGAAACCAACACTTGATGTGGACAAGAAAATACCATACAGCATCGTGATATGTTAGGCCGATGACTTATGGACTTAGGAACACTCATATTTAATCGCCATTTATTGTTTACCTAATAGGTAAGTCAGGAACAGGCTATGTGTTTTCACATACATTATTTCAATTTTCTTCAAAACGACTCAGGCACAGGGATCATGGTCCAATTAGACTGAGAGACCAGACTTGCTACAATGCACAGGAAATGTAGCAAAATAGGAATTTGAACCTATTTCTTTGAAATGCCAAGTTGTTTTTTAACTGGATTGTGAACTCTTTAAGATGGGAAAGTTAAAATCTCAAAGACTTCCAAGGTACTAGGCTCTCTGCTTTGTGTTTTCTCCAACTATGTGGCTCTCACATAATGATAGGCACATTGCAGCTTATTAAATATTTAAATTGGGCATGATGATGTGCACCTGTAATCCCAGCTACTTGGGAAAATCATCTGAGCCCAGGAGCCCAAGGCTGCAGTGGGCTATGGTTGTGCCAGGGCACTCCAGTCTGGAGACAGAGTGAGATCCCATCTTAAAAAAAAATATTTTGGGCCGGGCGCGGTGGCTCAAGCTTGTAATCCCAGCACTTTGGGAGGCCGAGGTGGGTGGATCACAAGGTCAAGAGATCGAGACCATCCTGGTCAACATGGTGAAACCCCGTCTCTACTAAAAATACAAAAAATTAGCTGGGCATGATGGTGCGTGCCTGTAATCCCAGCTACTCAGGAGGCTGAGGCAGGAGAATTGCCTGAACCCAGGAGGCGGAGGTTGGGGTGAGCCGAGATCGCGCCATTGCACTCCAGCCTGGGTAACAAGAGCGAAACTCCGTCTCAAAAAAAAAAAAAAAAAAATTTTGTGTTTAACATGGGATATACATTAGAGAATGAAAGTTATCCTTAAAGGAAAGGAGGCAGATGGGAGTTACTAATTTGAGAATTATTCTCTGTACACATTTAACCTTTCTCCTTTCCATATGTCTTCACAGTCCCAGAATAAGTGGGTGAGTAAACAGATAAGTCACGTCCAGGATGGAAAGAAAGAGGCTAGCTTGGTATGTGAGAATAGGCACATGGCTGAGAAACTGGAGAAGGGACCACAGGATGTTCTGTCTTTGTGGTTGCAACATTCTACTTACCACCCCTGAGGTTCCTTAAGAATTGAGATTGAGAGTCCCAGACAAGAGTCAGTCTGAGATTACTAATGTATTGAATGACCTAGATACTCATACTTCACACAAGCATAGAGTGAGTCAGAATCCATTAAGAAAAGCTTACATTACTGTAGCATGGGCTTCTGCTTTTTCTGCCATCCTGCACAACAATCCTCAGCTAATACAGATGCCGTTGAAAATGGAGGCGACTCTGTGTGACTTCTGTCGGTGTTCAGCAGGTTCAGCCACACGGCATAAATCAGTACCTCCGTTGAGTAATTAGCATCTGTGGTGAAAAGCATGCTAGGAGGGCTGCATAGACTCTGATGCTTCCATTGCATCTGTATCTGCACCCTCTCAGCTGAGCAGGGTTCTTGTCCTCTAATCTGTTTCTCTCCTGCTGTCATCGTGCCTCAAAGCGCAGGCCCTGTGCCTGACTGTTTAGCACACAGCGACGCTCGGCACATCCTGTAACTCATAAGGTGCTGTTCTTTGCTCTTGGTCTGAACGCTGAAGGGGTCACCATTCACTGTGACCGTGAGGAGAAAGCACCGCCCACACCCAGGCGTGTTTCACTGCTGCACCTTCTGCTCCAGTGGAGGCCAGAAAACTGCTCGCTGTGCCTGTGGAGGCACCATGCCAGGTAAGGAGAAAGCACTACCCTCTGGGCCTTTCTGCCAGCAGTGGGAATACAGCGACAGACCCTCCCCTACCACACAGCCACCAGACCTTCGGACTTAGGCTCTGCTTCTAGGAAGCACAGTCTGTGATTGTAGAGACACCACTGTTGTAAAGGCTTCACTTAAAGCTTCCTCGTTCTGAGTGGAAATAGCAGGCATAAAAGCTGAGTTCTGCTTTGGTACCGCTCCTGGGAGCCCTGTGCTGCTGTCTTGGATTCTGTCTGTCCCTTTCCAGCAGCCTGAGCAGTGTGAGAACCGTGGGCCCATCTTATTCCTTTTAAAACCTTAAATAAATTCTAAAGGAGGCACGACTGGGGGAGTGGATGATTAAATCAACTGAACAAGGTCTAGGTCTTTTAGGGGCAGGGAAAGGGTGGAGTCAGTTTAGGTAAGGGATCTAACACTTTTCTAAAAAAATTATTCTATTGCGTTCACTCTAATAATGGGCCATAATATAGGCTTTGTATCCTTCTGTATAAACACTTCGGGATCCACTTTTTTATGTTCACCAACCTACCCTTCTTCATTTCAAGGATTTTACAGTTAAAAGTCCAAACCAATTTATTTTACAGTTAATGTGCAAACTAGTCTGCCTCCTTCAGGTGGTGAGTGTTATCACTACAGCGGTCCTAGAACTCTGGCTAACATGAGTTGATTTGCTGCCATCAATTTTGAGGGTCCTCCTGACTGCAGAGCAGTCAGATAGCTTGTTCGCATTGCCAAGATTTTCTTAGGTATTTTCACTCCCAGGAATCTGCATGTTTTCAGGAGGTCCAATTACCATGGTGACTGCTGGACTCCACTCTAATGGTCGATTTTTTTCCTTTCCTCTTTGTACCATGCAGGTGGGTACCTAGGCTGTGGCCATGGACACAAAGGCCACCCAGGTCGTCCCCACTGGTCCTGCTGTGGGAAGTTTAATGAGAAGTCTGAATGCACGTGGACGGGTGGGCAGAGCGCACCGAGGAGTCTACTTAGGACTGTGGCACTCTGATGGGTTTGTGCTCAGCCTGTTAACGCTGCAGTCAGCACCACTTGAGATTTCCAGAGGACCCAGACCTTTGTTCATTCTAAAGAGACTGATAAAATTAAAAACAAAGTGCCTTCTCTTACATTGGAGTTCAAGTGCTCTTTTGTTACTCACTGATGGTACTTGTGGATGCGTGAGCACAAAAGATCACCTCTACGTTTCTCTTAAAGGTAGGTTGGCAACGTTCTTTCTCTACCACAGGACGCTCCTTTTCATTTTGTACAGTATGGAGGTATCTATTCCATTGGAACTGAAGGGTCATGGGGGTAGTTTAGTTCCTTATTTTCTGATATATTATAACCTTTTTTATTTTTCTCTGAGCTACACATTATTTAGATATTTCCCCTAGAGCAGGCGTCCCCAAACTACGGCCCGCGGGCCGCATGCAGCCCCCTGAGGCCATTTATCCGGCCCCTCGCCGCACTTCAGGAAGGGGCACCTCTTTCATTGGTGGTCAGTGAGAGGAGCACAGTATGTGGCAGCCCTCCAACAGTCTGAGGGACAGTGAACTGGCCCCCTGTGTAAAAAGTCTGGGGACGCCTGCCCTAGAGATTAAAAGTTCCTTTTATCCTGTCCACTTTTTGATAGCGGTGGACTTTCAGTAGATTTACTGGTACATGTTTCGTGATTGTGATAACGTAGTCTTGTTTTGGTGAGCATCCCCCTCCTTCTTCTCTAGGCCATGTCAATCTTCTCCCCCAAAGCCTGAAAGATTACTCTTTGGTCAAGGGCATACTGGTGTTGAAATAGAACCTCACACATTTATTGCTGTGTCATGCCAGAAAAATCTAGATACCTTTAGGCATCTCACATCTCTGTTTTTCAGTTGAGTACTCTTTAGAGTAGTTTCCACTTTTGTCTCTATACCTGGCGAGTTAACTAGAAGCTTTGACTCTTACTGTGCCTTCACTCATAGTGAGCCCTATCAGCTGCTAGAGAATTCTCGGGAGAGGATGTACACAGCACTAATGCCTCAGCCCTGCCAAGGTCTTCACTCTATATATTTTGTTCTGAGACCTGTTTTCTTATATAGCAAAAAACTTAGCATGTATTAAATATAATTATTGAAATCTGCATTGTAAGATCCCTGAAGAAGTGGATGACTCATTTGAATGGTGAATTGGGTCAGGCAAAGGAAATGAAATAATTAGATGATGACTGTCAAATCATGGTGGAATACATTTCCTCTTTGAGGCTGACAGATAACGGCTACATTGTAGCCATAAATTCTAAGATATTCTCTATTCTCACCCTTTTCTGGAAACATTCCCTTCAGCCTCTTTCTGTAACCCAAATCTCATCTTCTCAAAACACATTCCTGCCCCTGTCATCCTCTCAAATTAGCTATTTGGTCTTTCTCAATCCTTCTGTTACTTGGCCCAGAAGTATATGTCCTTTTAGCTTATCAATGCTGCTTTGAGATGAGTGGTTCCTTTTTTTTTTTCTTTGTGAAACAGTCTTGCTCTTTGGCCCAGGCTGGAGTGTAGTGGCGCAATCTTGGCTCACTGCAACCTCCGCCTCCCAGGTTCAAGCAATTCTCCTGCCTCAGCCTCCTAAAAGTAAGCTGGGATTATAGGCGCATGCCACCACACCTGGCTAATTTTTGTATTTTTAGTAGAGGTGGGGTTTCACCAGGTTGGCCTGGCTGTTCTCGAACTCCTGACTTCTTGATTCACCCACCTTGGCCTCCCAAAGTGCTGGGATTACAGGCGTGAGCCGCCGTGCCAGGCCGAGATGAGTGGTTCTTAACCAGGAGTGACTTTGCCCCCTAGAGGACATCTGGCAAAGTCTCAGAGACATACTTAGTTGCTACTACTGGGGCAAGGTGCTACTAACATCTCTTGGGTAAAGTTCAGTGATGCTGCTAGTCATTTTACGATGCTCAGGACAGCTTCCTGAAACAAGAAGTATCCAGTTCAAAATGTCAGTGGTTCCGCTGTTGAGAAACCCTGTTCTATAGCATTAGCCATACTTTTTTTTCTAAAAATGGCCAGCCTTGAAGCTCATGCCTTTCAGGTATACAGCTTGCCATTCCTCCATGGTTCAGCCATCTACTGAGCCCCAAATTGTTCCCCCTCATTCCTTGAAGATTATAGCATCAAGCTTGCTGTGACTCCGGTACAACTCCTTATCAATCTTGGGATAACTCATTGTCTACATAGATTTATTAGTTCAGTGACCATTTCCCCAGTGTTATTTTTTCCCTACTTACATACCCTAGATCTTGATTCCAACCGCACCCTCTGCATAGTCTCAATTTCAAGCATCCTGCAACCACAACCTCCCACCTTTCCAGCTCACCCACTGACTACTAATTCTGACTAATTCTTCTACCTCCTTGGAATCTACAATGCAGTGATTCTGCTACCTTCCTGTTGTTCCTCACCCACCTCGGGTCCTTCCCTTCATCCTTCCCAACTTAGATTCTACAGACCATCACTATAATCATTCTATTGCATAGTCTCTGTCATTCTTGCCTGGTGTAACTCCAACTCAGGTTAGATCCAATCTTCCATCTAACCTAGCTGAATGATCCTGCAAAAAACCAAAAGCATGATTAGTCTTACTTTAAATTTATGACCACTAATTTCAGTGGGCTCTTAGCATTGCCCAGTAGCCTGAAACATCTCCCCAGTCCATTTATTTTCCCATGCTTCTAGACAATTCATACTTTTTTCCCCTCTGACTCCCAATTTCTACCTCACTTCTACTCTGCACTAATGACTTTGCCAGGAATATTCCAGATTGAGCGGAGAATTTCCCTAGCCTCCCTACCACATGTACGCATCGACATAAATTGCTATCAAGAGCCAACTTCTATGCTGTGTACTAAATCCCATTCTATAACTTCCCAGGAACACTGCTCTAGTAATTTCCCATTCTGCTGGATTGCTTACTTCAGAAAATAATCATGATACAATATTCCCATCTTAAAACCCTTTTGTATTAGTTGGCTAGGGCTGCCATAACAATACCACGGACTGGGTGGATTCAACAACAGAAAATAGTTTTCTCACAGTACTGGAGTCTGGAAATCCAAAATCTAGGTGCTGGCAGGGTTCTTTTCTGGTGAGGACTCTGTCCTGGGCTTGCAGATGGCAGCCTTTCCTTTGCTCGCCACTGTCCATTAGCGTCACATCTTAGAAAAGTGAGTCTTTATAGCAGCATAGACCCCACATGATCTGGATCCCTGCTCTTACTGCCTACCTATCTGCCTCCATCACCCTATTCCAGCCAAACTGGCCTGCCTGGTGCTCCTTAAACTCTCCAAGTACACACACACACACACACACACACACACACACGTGTGTATATACACACATACACACATTTAGAGACAGAGTCTCTCTCTGTTGCCCAGGCTAGAGTGCAGTGGCACAATCTCAGCTCACTGCAGCGTCTGCCTCCCTAGGTTCAAGTGATTCTCCCACCTCAGCCTCCAGAATATCTAGAACCATAGGCACACCCCACCATGTCCGGTGAATTTTTTGCATTTTTTGTAGAGATGGGGTTTTGCCATGTTGCCCAGGCTAGTCCCAAACTCTGGCCACCTCAGCCTCCCAAAGTGCTGGGCCAACACATATATATTCTGTTCATTGTCTGTCCTTTCGTACTAGATTGTAAGCTCTGTGAGGGCAGGGATTTGATATTTTTAAACTACTATACTGTGCCCATGTAGGACAATTCCTGGCACATGGTAGAGATTTACTATTACATCAGTGAATAAAGATCTGATTGGTAGAATTTTTAGTTTGGATCTCCTTGGTATCTGTTTTTACAAGCCAAACTTCCCTTCTCCCAAACTCCAGTATTTGTTATTTAATACCACTTGGAAAAAAATCAGCCTTATCTCAAGCCTGTTGGATAAATAACATGCACCTGAGAGACCAGCCTTGAATTTTCCAGTAACCTCATACATATAGGGAACTGCTTGCCGTGAAGAAGCCATTGTATTATATCATATTTCCCCATGTGTCTTTTAATGAATCCAGTTTCAGAACCGAGAACAAAAAGCTTACCATTTGTTTCAGTTGGAGGTGGTTTCAGTGACTGGACAACTTTATGTAGATGAATTAACATTGCAATAGAAAATTTCCATAAGACATCTAGGTTCTAGCTGATGTGTTAGCCTTTAAGCAATATTAATGGTAACAATTCTGTTACAAATATTTAAAGTTTGCGAGTGGGTGTTGGGGGGTGATGTTTCATGCATGCACCACAATGGAGTACAAACGCAATTTAATTCAGCTGCCCTGCCTGCTGAAAGACCTGGCACAGTCAGTGATCAACAGAGCCCAGGACTCCAAGGTGAGGCAAAAAAGAGTGGGAGGATTTAGGAACTGTCCCCAGTGTGCTTCAGAAATCACCATCGAATTGTGAGCATTGAAGCACAAGCTGCAGCATTATGGCTTAAGTTATGCCTTTGGTGTTACAGTAAGAAAAAAGAGCCGCAAGTAAGAACCTCAGTCCTCTGCGATGTTGTAACAGGATAAACACCTTGGCTGTCTTGGATAATAAACATACACATACCTGTCAGCCCACCCATACTCTCATGTCCAAAATGCAGTAGTTGCTCAACTTTCCTCCAGAGGCGGTCTAGCTGTGTGGTTAGGTTGGGCTCAGGAAAGAGGTGGTCCAATGAAGTGGATGCTATTTAGAAGCAGGATACCGTATAGGAAGAGGCATCTCACTCTGCCTTGTTAGCGTCTCCATATTGATTTCAATTCTTTTTTCACTTCCTCAGATCCTCCCTGACTAGGTCAAATCGTGTTAGAAGCCCTCCCAGCTGCACAGTCCTCTCTTGGAGCACTCGCTCAGCATCAAGGCTGCTTTACAGCCACACGGGGGTTATCTGATTAATGCCTGTCTCCTTTAGATGCTATCTCAGGAAGACAGGATGGGTTTTCAGGTTTGCTTATTTTATATTTCCAGTGCCCGGCATATAGAAAGTGTTCAACATACATTTCTGAATTAATGTATGAATAATTAAGCAAGAAAATAATCTCATCCTTCCTTTCTTATGCAGTCTCTACCTATTCATACATTTAGATTTAGCTATGGAATCTGGATAAGAACTCAAGATAGTAAAAACATTGTGTAGCTGCGTATCTGTCTCCCTGGTTCCCTCCCTGGGTTTTGCTTTTTTTTTTTTTTTTTCAATATCCATCTCTATCCCCTAGCTACTGACTTCTGTGGTACTTTGTATTGTAACGACCCTGATTTCATTTTTAGTTATGAAAACATTTTGGCCTAGGCCATATGCCTAGGAATTCTGAATTTCTATTATAATTATCTTCGTGCCTACAGATGTGCTTTTAAATTTTTCCTGCCCTTTCCTCAGGCTAGATGTTATATGACAAATAGCAGCACAATATCCCACTTTGCAAACCTAATTCTTTCAAGGTATTATAGCAGATAGCGAAATTTCAGACAACCGGAGGCCACATTGAACACTGGTGTCTCCATGCTTATCCTGTTAGTGCAGGAGAATCTGACTTCACCTTTGAGCCCTGCTAAAAGCTATTTCATTGAGCAACAGACAATCAGAACAAGGAAACAATTCAGTTTCATAAATTGCCACACTAGATCACTCAACAGGATTGCTAGAGAAAGAGGTCATGTCCCATAAACAGAGAATTCTACCTAATGCTGTTTATGATTGCATGGCAACAGGAGTCTTTTTAATTTTTTTTAGAGACAGAGCCTTGCTCTGTGGCCCAGGCTGCCATGGTGTGATCTCAGCTTACTACAACCTCCACCTCCTGAGTTCAAGTGATTCTCCTGCCTCAACCTCCCGAGTAGCTGCAATTACAGGTGGCCAACATCACGCCTAGCTAATTTTTGTATTTTTAGTAGAGATGGGGTTTTGCCATGTTGGCCATGCTGGTCTCAAACTCCTAGCCTCAAGTGATCAGCCTACCTCGGCCTCCCAAAGTGATGGGATTACAGGCGTGAGCCACAGCACTGGGCCTGCAACAGGAGTCATTGAGGTTTCTAAAGGGCCCAGGACTCTGCCTAGCTGTGGCATGCACAATACTCCTATTTGATAGTATGACTAAAGCAAGGTCAAACTACAAACCTTCCATGAAGTCAATTCTGCCAGGTAAGAAATACCTTAGAAATCTGGGGCTCAGGGACGTTGCATTTTGGTGACATACATTCAGTTCACCACCTGGCTCTTTGAGCTGCACCCATGCTGCTGCTTGTTCTCGTGTTCCCACATCTCGTCACAGCACTAATACTAGCACTTCTGTGACTCTTCATGGTGTTCAAAGCGGTTGTTACCTCCTATCATCCATGCCCAAGTCAGGTGCAACAGGCACATGTAAAAAGCAAATCCAGCAGCAATAGTGTGACATGAAGGAAGGCTGGCTGACACGGGCCAGACTCATAGTGTGGCACCACAGGCCACTGTGTTGTGGGATGCTGCCCATTGCTAGAAGGTGCAAAGACCCACCCTGCCATACCTAGACTTTGAGAAACTGATTTACACTAAAATGAATATGAGCTGGAGACAGATAGTTGAATATCAGAATGCCAATTCTGTGAATTCATGACATTTCCATCCCAGCACTAGGATTTAAGAATGCATGTATGGTATACTCCATTCCATTAAGGCAGTGGTTCCATTTTTTTTCTGCATCCACATCCAATCAATTGAATCTCACAGTTATGAGAACACCTACCCAAGACATAATTAGGTTGCTCTGCTTGCTTACAACAAGGAAAATTAGAGAAGCTATTTTAAAATATTAGGAGGCATCTACCTTTTGGTCGATTACTTGTCCGTGGCCTCAATATCTGAAGATTGTACATTACAATCCCTGTATCCCTCTCCAAACTAAAAGTCAGAATGCTTGAACCTGAAAGAATTCTCTCCCCTAAACACTGTGACAATGTTCGTCTGATAACCTTCTGGCTGACATTGCTGACTATCTGGTCAAACATGTTATAGTATATGTATCTGCTATGAAATTCCCAGTGGAGCACGAGATAGATGCTAATCCACACATTTGACAGATGAAAGGATTGAGATGTCCGAGGAATCTGCAACTTGCCTGGTATCAATCAGCCAATGGCAGAGCCAGGTTTGTACATTCTTGCTGGCCTGGGAGCCACTGCTTCTCAGGTGACTCAATCTTTACCTTGGTGTATTGATCTTATAGCAAAACTTCAAAAAGGCAGTGTTACTTCCTTTGCTTCTTGAATTTTTTTTCGCTTGGAGTTTTGCTCTTGTTGCCCAGGCTGGAGTGCAATGGCACAATCTCAGCTCACCGTAACCTCCACCTCCTGGGTTCAAATGATTCTCCTGCTTCAGCCTCCCGAGTAGCTGGGATTACAGGCATGCACCACCATGCTCGGCTAATTTTATATATATATATATATATATTTTTTTTTTTTTTTTTTTTTTTTTTTTTTTTTTTAGTAGAGATGGGGTTTCTCCATGTTGGTCAGGCTGGTCTCAAACTCCTGACCTTAGGTGGTCCAACCGCCCTGGCCTCCCAAAGTGCTGGGATTACAGGTGTGAGCCACCGTGCCTGGCCTGCTTCTTGATTTTATCAGGAACCTTGTTGCTGCTGAGTTCTAAAAACTGCCCACCTTACAAATGAGGAAATTAGAATGTAGAGAAAGTAAGGATTTTTTTCGAGGTTACACGCCCAGCTAAGATGAACCTAGAACTAGAGTCAAGTCTTAGTTCTAGACCAGAATTCTTGCCACCAGGCCATTGTCTTTACCTTTGTAAGCCTTTAGATCTTGTCCTTACAGAAAACCTCTGCTTCAACAGGCTGAGTGCCTCAGTCCCCACTGTGACTGGGTTAACATAGGGTCTTGTTTCCTAATTCAAAGGAGAGAAATGTTTCTATGTAGGAAGAACTGCGATTCGTTCTAGCAGAAATTAGCAAAGTGTTTTTTGAACAACTGCTAATGAGAAGAAGGAAATACGAATAATTTCCTGAAGTGTAAAAGTCTCAAGTGTTTGTATTAGGGTACAAACTACTCTATGAACAACACAAAAATCTCAGTAGCTTAAAAAAAAAGATTCTTTGATCATGTCATAGCCCAGTGTAGGTGAGCTGGGGCAAGGGAAGGGCACATGGGGAAGGCATCCAGGGACTGAGGCTTTACTAGTCTAATAGAAGGGCTGATGGCCAAAAACCAGGCTAAGAACCAGTGGCTTCACCCTTCCCTAGGGCCTTGTAATCTTCCATCAGATCCTTTGCATCCCGGAGGCCGAGGAGGGAAGAAACAGCATGAATAACCTTTTATAACGTTGTAGAGGGCAGTCTAGAAGTGACTTACATCACTTTTCTCCACAGTCCGTTGACTAGAACTCAGTAATACGGACCCCATCAAACTGCAGCAAAGACTGGGAAATACAGACTCTCTGGGTGACCAGAAGGAAAAGAAAACGGGCTTAGTGAACACATAGCATTATTTCTGCTACACTGTCAAACACATTATTTATTAGATTGTATCAATACTACTATTAGTATTGGATTGTACCAATACTATTATTAATGTTGGATTGGATTAGTATTGGACTGGATTAGTATTTATTAGATTGTACCAAATACTAAATGAAATGATACTAAATGCTACAAATACTGTAAATTTGTAAAAATACAAATACTATTAAAAATGACATATATTACATTCTATTATACATATAGTAGAAAGGCCATAATAGAAATACTGAATGATACAGTGAACCAAAGGATACACTACTAAATGATATGGTGTTAACCATTAAATGACTGAGTGATATACCACACTAAATGATACAGCGATGCAAATACTAAATGATAAGCTGACACTAAATGATCTGATGGTACAAATACTCAGTATCTGTTTATGTACAAAGCATCTCCTTGATCCTCAGCCTGAGAGGAAGAACTGTGTGCACTGAGAGAGGTGCAGAGATGGCTGGCGGCAGGGACTGACTCGCTGCTCCACCCACAAAAAGATGGTTACGAGAGCAACATCATTGGCAAGAAGAGATGAAGAGATAGGATGGAGCCTGTTAGAGAAAGTAGTAACAGTGGTTCTCCCATCATCAGGTAGGAAGACAAAGGCAACACAGAACTTTACTAGCTTTTCTTTCTTTCTTTTTTTTTTTTGAGACAGGGTCTCACTTTATTGCCCAGGCTGGAGTACACTGGTGGAATCCCAATTCAGGGCAACCTCAACCTCCCGGGCTCAAGGAATCCTCCTGCCTCAGCCTCCCAAGTAGCTAGGCACTAGCACGCCTAGCTAATATTTTATTCTTTGTAGAGATGGGGTCTTACTATGTTGCCCAGGCTGGTCTTGAACTCCTGGCTTCAAGCCGTCCTCCTGCCTCGGCCTCCCAAAGTGTTGGGATTACAGGCATGAGTCACCATGCCTGCCCTGCTTTTTGAACTTCACTGAAGCTTATGTACAATTCTGCCAGAATTGTTTTCCAAAATTATCCAGCTCTAAAACATTTTAACTAAAAAAAAAAAAACTGGTTTCCATGCCACTCATTAACTAAATTGACCTATTAATTGGTTAACTAATTGGTTAACATAACCCCTCCTCAATTCTAGGGATAAGATAATGCCTCATTTTGAGGAAGGTGAAAGGCTTGACTGAACTGAAATGCAGAGAACACAGTGTAAGGCTCGTGGTTAGGTTGTTACTCCCAGATCCTGATACAAACCAGCAATGGCGGTATTCTGAGCCCTTATCCACAGGAGGTTAGATGCCAAAAAGGACTCTGAGGTCAGCCAAGGTGAGCTTGGTGACAGACTCTCCAGACCCTGATAGAACTTGTTTGGCCAAATCTTTCTTTTTTTCTTGGAGCTGTAAGATCTTTTCTTCTACTGTTCCCTCACAAACAAATCTAAAAAAAAATAAATAAGGAAACTGTCAAAAACTCAAAGTAGCATGTCTAATAACATACTCAAACTTTTATGACACTTTAGTTTTTAATAAGGCTTTTTCCTTTAAGTCTTCTTAGATCCAGTTAAGACCCCTCCCTGTTTGAGGGATCGAAACAACCTTGAGTAGATATATGTCCATTGGAAAGGATGTGACTCACATTGACATTTTAATACGTTCTGAAGCTATGGTAATTGAAAAACTCAAAATAAGCAAAAGATATCCCAATCCAAAAAAGCACAGAGATCCAGCTTTCACCCTATGGTAAGTCCATAGGCCTCAAAGGTTATCAAATTTCTGCTAGTTTAAGTAGAATATCTATTTCTTAGTGAATTTACACTGAAAACAGTTTTAAAACCAAGTAAATGTCACTGCTGTCATTTATTCACTCTTTCAAATGTCCGATTAAGCACTCACTATACTATGCGAGGTGTGGTTCAAAACTATCGATTAAGCACTCACTATACCATGCTAGGTGTGGGGACAGAGAGACGAATATGGTCTTGCTCTGAAGCAGAACACAAGTGAGACAGATGTGAAAATAATAATGTGACCTGGTAAGTGCCACAATGGAATTACGTGCAGTGTGCAAAAGAGGAAAAGGAGATGTGTCCAGGATAGTCAGGGAAAGCTCTGTTAAAGAGTTAACTCTTAATTTGTGACTTGTATGTTGGGCAAGGATTTGCTAGAGAGAGCTGTGAGGAGAGCGCCCCGGAGAATGGGAACACATGCAAAACCATGGCTGAGTTTCAGAGCATGGTACAGTGAAGGAAGTTCACACTGACCATGTTGTCCACAGCAGCAAAAGCTCAAGAGGCTGGCGGGGCCAGATCACAGGCGGTGGTGCATGTCATGCTGAGACATTTTGATTTGATCCTATGGGAGGTGAGAGCTACTGAAGAATATGAGTGGATGACACAATCAGACGGATCAGTTAGGAAGAGCCCTTTGCTGGTGATGCAGAGGACAGGAGGTAGCTGAGTGGGAAAGCGGGACGTGGCCATGGGCATGGGAAGGAAAATAAGGTTATCAGAAACATTTAGAAAATACAACTAAAGGACTTGGTATGTGGAAAAGAGAGAAAGGAGGAGGTCTGGTTTTTGGCTAGATAATTAGATAAACAGTGGTACTATTCACAAAGACAATGACTACAGAAGAATAGCAGATTTGAGGTGGGAGGAAGAAAAAAATCAATTATGATTTGTAACATTTGAGTCCCTGAAACATGTAGTTATACTTGCTACATAGTGGGTGCTCAAAAGGTATGTTTTATGAGCTGAATGCTCAAATGCACAATGAATAAAAAGGAATAACAGATGAGTGTGTGGACACTCGGATTCAGATATTAGGCAGCGGCTGTGATGTTCAGGTCTGAAATTTAGGAGGCCTTGGAACTAAAGATACACATTTTGGACTTACTAGAGTGGATAGAATTTATAAAGGAAGGAGCGTACAGAATGAGCAGAGAAGAGAGCTAACAACAGGAAGACTATCATAATCACTACATTTGGCAAAGTCTGGAATTCACTGGGGCCCTTTAACAAGAGCAATTTCAGGGCAGCAACAGGGGTAAAAGCCAGTTTGCAAAGGCTGGGGAATGAATGGGAAGTAATCAAATAAAGGCAGGCAGTGATTCCTAATTCTTCAGGAAACCTGGTCATGAAAGGGAAGGAGAAAAACAGGGACATTGTGAGAGGGAATTGGTTGCATTAAAGCAGGTTTTGTTGTTCTTAAAGACAAGGTGGTCCAAAATAGGAGACATTTTGCAAAATAACTGGCTCACACTCATCAGAATGCCAATGTCATTAAAACACAAAGACTGAGGTACTGCTCCAGGGCAAAGGACACAAACTTATGACCACTGCTTGCTACCAGGATCTGGGATTCTTTTTTGCTATGTAGGACATCACTGGGACAAGTGACATTGAGTAAGATCTGCAGCATCAGTTAAGTGTTTTGTTAATTTTAATAACCTGATTTTGATAATTGTATTGGGGTTATATAAGAGAATTCCCTGAATTTTAAGAAATCTTCACTTAAGTATGTAGGGACAAAGGAGCATCCGGTCTATAACTTGTTATCAAGTGGTCCAGAAACATGTTTATATCCACATGCACACACCCAATATGGGAACTTTCTGGTACTGTTCTTACACCTTTTCTGTATGTCTGAAATTATGTCAAAATAAAAGTTAAAAAGCAAAATAAGAGAGAGGAGGGTCCTTTCATGGACTGCCCTCGCCATATGCACAAGCTTGCCCTTCTTTTGCAGTGACCAACTTGAAACTTACCCAAATTTCTGACTGTGGTTTGCCTGAGGGTATGCCTCAGGACCTTCATTAGCAAAGTCATCACCAAATACTTTACATTTTATTAAGACGCTACCCAAGAAAGAAAGACCTTGTCAAAGTAGAAGTTGAGAAGGGTCCAGGGTCCTGGGGACCATTACTTAACCTGTGTATGACAACATCTTTCTGCTGCCCGACTCGGTAAATTCGGTCACAAGCTTGATCTTCAAGTGATGGATTCCTGTTAGAAGACAGGGAAAGAAAGCTCAAAGGAACTGATATACTAGATCAGAAGTGGCAAACTATGGCCCATGGGCCAAATCCAGCCCACAGCTTGTTTTTGTAGCTAAAAATGATTATTACATTTTAAAGGGATTTACGAAAACAAAGCAAAGCAAAACAAAACACACAGATCCTGTGACACAGAACTATGTGGCCTGTAATGCCCGCGAGAAAAATAATCTGTTGACCCTTGTCCTAGGCTGTACTGGCCTAAGACAAGCTGGTGCCAGATAACAGGTTATCTGTTGACCTGTTTTTACCAATCTGGGCTGTCTGGAGAACTGGATCAATGACAATCCCCAGAAATAGTGCCTGGTACAGCAATCTTTGATTGGCGTAACTGGAAAACCAGAAACTGGTACTCATTATGAGATTTTTCTGGTAGCCACACAGTAACTCATTCATTTTGTAGCCACGAAAAGCTGTGGTTTACACTACTACATACAATGAATCCAAGGGTGAGGTATTAAGTATATTTCTAACATAATTAGAAAACCCCTATTCCTTTTCCTTTTGGAATAAAGCTTCTCCCTCTTTGTGAAGGTTGAAAGTTCCTTGGATCCCAGCAAAAATGTCTGGAATACGGTATTCTGGAGAAGAGGTAAAACTGAGCAATGTTAACTCTGAGCAACATTAACTCGTGAAGAGAAGCTTGTGCTCCCAGTTTCCATGGAAACAGATGTTAGATTAACAATAACGTGAATGAACTATTTTGAGTAGTCATTTGAAGGCTTGCTAGCTCAGGAACTCAGGGGAGTCAACTAGCCCTATATCCTGCTTAGATCTGTATCTACAGACACTTAAAAACAGAAGCATCGCTGCAATATGAACACAGCAATCAACATGAGAAGTCAGTTCCTACTGCCCCTCTAGCCCACTGGCCTCCTTGCTGTGCTGTGACGACTCAAGACAAATCCAGAATCATTACCAGTGCATGTCCAAAAGAAAGAGATGGTTTCCTCCAGTCAGGTTTAGACCAACACCTCCAGCCAAGAGAGAGATTAGCATTACCTTCCAAAGGAAACACAACGTTAACTTTAAACAGACTTGGTCTCGAAACATATCTTGGTCTCAGATTTAAGTCCATGATTAATATGGACAAGCACTATGCTCCTAACAAATTTCCTACTGCTGTTATAAATTTAAACATTATGATGCTATCTCCCATGTCTCACTGTTGAGAAAATCGCATCACATTTTGTGTATGAGTCAACCTCAAAAATTAACTGAGTACCTGCCAAAATAGATAAATACTGTAATTTAGGACCCTGGGGATGGTCAGCTCAATAAACTTTCAATTAACCAGATTATGTTTTTCATCAGTCCCTACCCCTCCATTGCTACAATAATTCTCCTGCCTATCATTCAACCAGTGCTTTCCAAATCCTTATCTATAATTAGATGTCTATATTCTTTCATTTTCTTCCATATTTCCTCTTACCAAAACCCCACCTAGCCTTCAAAGCTTGCTGCCTCTACAGAGATTCCCCTCATCTAACCAGCTCTGCTCTTAATCTCCTTTTAGTCCTCACTGTGTTCTTTTTTAGAATATTTGTGCTCTTTAAAAAGTACCACAGTACATGTCTAAGAAATTCCAAACACTTGGAAGAATCAAGCCTGTAAATATTTTTAAGTTGCCATATTAGAATTCTCTTTGTATTGGCAGGCATAGTGGCTCACACCTGTAATCCTAGCACTTTGGGAGGCCAAGGCAGGTGGATCACCTGAGGTCAGAAGTTCGAGACCAGCCTGGCCAACGTGGTGAAACCCCATCTCTACTAAAAATACAAAATTAGCCTGGCATGGTGGCGGGATCCTGTAATCCCAGCTACTTGGGAGGCTGAGGCAGGAGAATCACTTGAACCTGGGAGGCAGAGGTTGCGGTGAGCCGAGATCACGCTATTGCAGTACAGCCTGGGCAACAAAAGCAAAATTCCATCTTAAAAAAAAAAAAAAAAAAAATCAAACAAAATTCTCTCTGTATAACTCAGAACAATTAATGATGCAGCTCTGATGTGACCAGCTTGTACCTGAGGGCCTCTGGAGCGGTTAAACGCCTCTACCAAGTCCATTCTCTGCTTGGGGTTGACAGAGCCATCGATGGTGGCATAAGTCAGTCCATGCTTCTTCAGGTGCAGTGCTACAACTTTCAGCATGTTGGTCCACTGAGAGACAATGACACTGGAAAAAAGAATAAAATAAAAAACATCCTAACGTAGATTAAACAAACCCATCTGCAGGGCTTTAACACCCCCATCGTTCTTAAGATTAGCTATTGAATGTTGACAAGGAAAGGTCTTCTCCTACCTAAGGCAGAAGGCCCACATTTAGCTCATGTCTTAAGATTATAATGCTTCCAGTTATTTCTAGATCCTTTCTACAATTTATTTCGTGCTAAATGAAGTCAGAAAAGTGGTAAAGTAATGACTCCAGAATTCTTTTATTTGGGGCCTAGTGCTCATCCAGAAATCTGTGGTCCTGCACAGAAGGGACAGTCACCACCCTTCCTGTGCCAGCCCAAACAACAAGCTACTAGGCTCCCTCCTGCCCCTGTGCTCTCTTTATGGAGTTTTTAATTTTTATATTATTTTATGTAAACAAATGCAGGTGTACAGCACACATGTCGGGTATAACAAATGACAAAATGAACCTCCTTGTGTCTGAGGACCCCGCTTAAGAAGAGCATTCCCAGCGTTGCTGGAGCCTCCTGCCTCCCTTGCTTTTCTTTCTCTGCTGCTTTACTTTTAAACACTTCTTCAGGTGCTTAGCTTCCCCGGCTCCTCTAGGGACGTCCTTTTCCATTTGCACCACAAATACTTTAAGAAGAAATCACAGGGAATGTGTGCTGTAACCTCAGTGCTTTATGCTGAACATGACTCGCAGTTCTTGATTAAAAAAACAAACAAACAAAAAAACTAAGATTTATAACTCAGCAAAATCAAATTTTCTCGATTAATTATGACCAATACTTGGATAACGAGAAAACGCAGTTACCTCTTTTGGGACCCTGAATTTCTTTGAATTGCCTCCAATTCCGCCAACAGAGATGAAATCTGGGAAAAGGTTACATCAACATTGCATGTTTGAACAATTCACTTTTATCACCTCCTCTCACCTACCGTGCGAAGCCGTCTCCTAGATGGCGTCTGTGCTTTGGCCTCACCCTGCTCTGTTCCACCCTCCTCTCTGCAGCCAGAAAGCTCTTTCTAAAATACAAGTTTGTCACTTCACCCCTCTGGCTAAAGCCTTTCCATAGCTTCCCACTGAGGATAAAGGCGAGCGCCTCAGGGCGGCTTCCAGACCCTTGCTGCTCCAGCCTCTGCTTACTTCTCTGGGTTAGACTCTCACTGTGCCCTCCTCAAATGACACAGCGGTCACACCAAAACTCTTCCCATCAATCACACCTTAGCCCATCCTGTCCATTCTGTTCCCTCTGCCTAGAATACCCTTTTGTGTCAGCTTCATGTCACTTCTTCTTGGAGGTCCTCCCAACGCCCAAAGTACGGGTTAGGTGCCTGCTGCCCGTGTGCTATCACGGCACCTTTTGTTTCTATGATCACAGTCCTTACCATACTGTATATGAGCTCCTTACACTCCAGTGGAGCAAATACTAGAAGAGGACCTTCTCTGTTTTCGCCGTGTGTGAGGGGCTGTGAGGACGCACGTGGCCGAAACAGAGAAGTCCTCTCCTAATGTTTGCCGAAGAAAGGGAAACAGCTTTACCCACTTTGTGGCCTGCCCCCAGATGTCACTGAAGAGGACCCATCCAGACAGAGGAACAATTGTTAAAGCTTCTGAACAGGCTCCCTGGGTAAAGAACCCTTAGGGTGCGTTTCAGTCCTCAGGGGAGCAGTCAATAAGAACACGTGGGGCATGACTGTGGAGTGCAGCTCGGCTCCTTGTTCCCAACTGCTCAGGTGAAAAACCTTTCACAAGCCTCTAAGGGCCCCAGAGTTCACCCCCAGAATACAGGAGAAGGAAGAAACCTGGGCTGTGAGTCAATCAGGAGAGAAATACTCAGAAGTTCTTCCTCTGTCCTCACGTGGCTGAAGCACTTTGGGACTGATTCCTCATCAGTAAAAAGAAGGACTTAGGCCAGATGAATTCTGAGGTGCCCTGAGCTCCCACATTCTAGGATGCTGTTAGCGGTCACCACATGGGGCTGCTTTCCAATCTTAACAGACATTCTGTGCCTAGGCAGGAAGTGAGTCACAGGACTGTACCATTCAAATTAGCAGAAAGAAAAGCAGGTACATCTGTTTTTTTAGTTAACAATAGAACAGAGACACTGATGTGCCTGGTGTCTTGGCAACTTGAGATTGTGGAAGGCGCTGTGACTCCCACATGAAAAAGCTGGCAATGGTGTTCTGAGAAACCTGCAGCGGGTAGGCTGGACTTACGGCCCAGGCGCCAGGGTCAAATTCCAGTAAGAAGCCTCCTTCCCTACATGAAACAACCTTACGTGGTTTGAACTATCAATGGCCATATGTTAAGACAACTCGTGAATAAATATTAAGTGTGTTTCATTAAACAAGGAGCACAAATGATTAGGAATATAAGTTTTAGCCCGACAGCTAACTCTGAAGGCACCAGCATGTGTGTTCTGGCCCCATGTGATGTTCTATTTCTCTCAGCTATTAGTGGTGAAGACCTAGGTAAATGTTTTAAACTTTTAATTAAAAGGCAGCATTCCTTTTAAAAAATAATGCCATTCCCCTGGAAGAGAGACCTCCTTTCTAGTTATTAATACTTTTTCAAAAAAAGCCCTTGAAGAGAGGTTGAGCCCACGATCGCAGCTTGAGATGCTAAGAGAGAAACAAGCCCCACTTTTGAGACAGGCAGGCAGATGAAGCACATTCCAAGCCAGCAGACAGGCAGGACTCAGGTTACGGCATAGCTCAGCCTTCTTCCAGCAGAAGGTTTCTGCCTTAAAAAGCTCTGATGGAAACAGAACAGAATGACTAATGAAGATAAAAGGCTACGTGGGAAATGCTACTCAGAGACGGAAGCCTTTCAACAAGTCAGAGCAACTGGCGCTCACATGGATGACACTGTCTCTACAGTCAAGCCTTAGTTTTCCTTTTAAGCTTTCTCTAAACAAAATGCTCAGTCGCATAGGCCCTGTCCCTAGCACAAACCTGGCAAGCTCCCCAGTGACCCATGACAGAAAATCTGCTTCAGTGCAATGCTGGGGATGTCCCAAATTACTCTCTGAAAGCCCCCTAGGAAAAAAGGCTTTCGTGTTATCTGTGAAATAAATGAAGCTTTAAGACTGGAGGGAGGCCGGGCGCGGTGGCTCAAGCCTGTAATCCCAGCACTTTGGGAGGCCAAGGCGGGTGGATCACGAGGTCGAGAGATTGAGACCATCCTGGTCAACATGGTAAAACCCCGTCTCTACTAAAAATACAAAAAAATTAGCTGGGCATGGTGGCGTGCGCCTGTACTCCCAGCTACTCAGGAGGCTGAGGCAGGAGAATTGCCTGAACCCAGGAGGCGGAGGTTGCGGTGAGCCGAGATCGCGCCATTGCACTCCAGCCTGGGGAACAAGAGCGAAACTCCAAAAAAAAAAAAAAAAAAAAACACTGGAGGGAGAATCTGATCGGCTGGAATCTAATGGCTCTACCTCTATTGGCAAATGGACATTCCCACTTGGACAAATGAGGTGCTGTCACACAGGAAAATGTGTGAGGAATCGATGTCTCTACTGCTACAGAGGAGACACAATACCTTGGTGCTCTCTTGCGTGTCTTCGAAAATCTCCATCTTGAAGAAGGTGCCGTTAAGGGAAACAGTGGAAGACGGCTCTGAGTCATGGAGTTCTGAAAAGGTCAAAGCACTGAGCTGTTCCTCCAGGGAAAGGACGAGACCTTCACCCTTCAGTTCCGTTGGATCCAGAGCCTGAACAGATAAAAAAGGACAGGAGCAGGTGGGAGTTAAGGCAGCAAACCTTGTTACTGATGATGTTCTGATCGTTTTAACACTCACAGAGCAAAACGTCTTATAATTTGTCATCAGTAACTCCTCAAGACACCTTGATTAAAGTATGATCTTGCAAGTTTTTTCACCAGATAAAGCAAATGACGGAACTGCCGACAGATGACGTAATCATTCCATTTTTCCGAGCTAGAATACATTGAGCTATTGCTAATCAGAAATATATATTATAGCTTCTAAAGTGAGTAGAATACTCTTTGTAATTTTGGATATGCCTCTATCCAGTGTAGAGACAATTTTTCAGTCTGTATAGCTATCCGAGTTTTTATAACTGGAACCCAAAACCCCAATACCACCAGAAGGCAAAAAACCCCAAGAACTAAATTAGGTTTATGACGTTCTGAAATACCAGAGCATTTACAAAATGGCTTCTTTTTAAACAAAATGTCATTTTCCATTCTTAAACAGTTAATCTATAACAAAATAAACTATAGAGATACACTGTTCTTGATGCCATAGGAATTATCAAGAATATGAGATGAAGCAAAATAAATAAGCTCCCTTTTCTCCAACCCACCAGAAAACAAAAATAGAAAAACTGAAACAGCATTCCTTTGATGAAGCAGACTGGATCCAAGCTGGAGGAGAGTGAAACTGACTTCGCGGGGGGCCCCTCTGGGGCCCTGTATGACAGCAGGCTAAGGGCTTCTCTTACCGACTTCAGTAAAGAAAGGTGACAGCAGCATTGGCGGAGTCTCAGCAGCTGGGACAGTATGTGGACGGTGCTGGATGTCGGTGAATCTGCTGCCTCAGAGTGTCTAGGCTCCCAGGACCCAAACTCCAGTGCCACTTCCAGGAGGGAAGGCAAGCCGCAGGATGGTACAGGATTTAAAACAGAGAAACATGGAGACAGCCAGGAACTACACGGGGCTACTTTAACCGTGTTTGATCTGAGACTCAGTAATATAGTTATAACTCACTTCTGTGCCAATTAGGTCAAAGGAAATATTGGTTTTTCTACCTGCATTTTAATAAAGCAGATTTAGGAAACAATTAAAAAGAAGTTAAATCACCAGGTCTGGTGTTTGCAGATCAGTAGCTTTTACTCTGGTTTGAGGGTCTTACTTAAGGTCAAATTTCTGATAGCAAGGATTCATAGGCTCACATTTCTGCATTTTACTGAATCCAAATCCCCATTTTCACCAGTCACATGTATTTATGAGAGTCCTGCAGCTTACCTCTACTGAATGGATTATTAGGGCTTCTTCCAGATTGGCTGCCTCTACTTTCATGTCTTTTTAGATAGGATTGCAGAGCTGACCTGCCTCAGATTAAAAAAACAAACAAACAAAAACACATGTATAATGGTCACTAAGACCTGCTTAACTGTGCCTGCAGCAGGATCTTGGCAAATTAGAGAAGTGGACTTGTTAAATGATGCCAAGCTCATAGCAAACAGTGGCCAAAGGTAATACAAAAGAAATCGTTATTTTTTTAAAAAGTCATTTTTAAAAATAAGCTAGTAAACATAAGGTCTGAAAGAAGAAAAAAAACCTATCTACATTGGAAATGAGAGGTAACAAACAGGAGACAATAAATCTGGAATTCAGGGAAGGGTAAGAGTTCAAGAGACAGTGCAAAGAACAGACAACAGAAAGGATTACAAAGCAGTCTTTTTAAAGTTCAAGTGAGATGCTGGATGACAGGTCAAAGGTCAAAGAGATATGATTATTCAGTACAGCCCCATGAGGACCAGACAGATTCAGTGTATGATGACCACACCCTATGACTTCTAGGCAAGGAAGCCAGTGAAGAGTAGGTTGAAAATTCTGCCTTCAATGTGTGTATGAGACAGAGGTAAACTGGAGAGGGGAGAAAGGGAAAAACGGGGAGGAAAAAAATGGAATGCAGACAGCCACCTAATCAATAATGCCATAAGTATAGCTTGTGGAAATTGACCCTTGACTCACTCCCAAGAAAGGACAGGAATAAAAGGATGTATGTGAGAAGGTGCTTCTTCGATACACACACCTTGATCTTGCAAAAAACACATTGTAAACAGTCTCTTCATCTTCAGAAAGCTTTAAATGGTGTAACTGAAATTTACGTTGGGGCAGTATCACCTGAAAGAGTAAAAGAAGAAAAAGCTGGCATGAAGCTATACAAATTAACTGGCGATTACAGAACAAATTCCCCAGATGACACTGCAGATCTAGTCAACCCCTGGAACGCAGCTTCCACCGTTTCTCCAGCACACAGTACAACTGGACTGCCGTGACACCATGCACGGGACTGCAACCCTGGGGCCTCCCCACAGGGGGACGGGAGACGCAGAGGCTCCGGAAGCCACGCAGATGGCTGTTCAACCCAAGACAAGAACATGCTCCTTCCCTGGCCTCCCCCAGAGACAGGCACAAACTCGATTACCAAAGGTCTGCCGGTAGAGTCCAGCTGGTCTTTTGTTCTCCTCAGCAAAAGGCTCTTGGTTAGAATACTTAACCGTTCCCCTCCTTTCCTTGAGCCATTGTCAACCTGACTCCTCCACAGACTGAACTCATCAAATGGAGAGCAACGGAGAAACCTTTTTGTTGAGGAAGAAGGGCACAGAGTAGGGAAGGAAGAGTCAGGGAGAATGGAATAAAGGTTCAGAGTAAGATATAAGATGAAAAACAAATCAGATTTTCTGTTACATCTGCCATCTGATCGCTTTAAACAGTATATTTCATAGCAAACCTCTGCTGTACAGATCAAAAACATATGTCAATAACAAAACCACATTATAAAAATGTGTGTTACCGTATTAACAATGCCTACATTGTCACAACAAGACATATAATCAGCAGCTAGAATCTGTTCCAAAGCTTTAGAGGCTAAGAAAGAAAGAAATTTCACATCCTCTTACGGCTGACTCAAATAAAAAGTACTTTATTTTTAATTTTTTTCTTTAGAGACAGGTCTGGCTGTCACCCAGGCTGGAGTTCAGTGGCATAATCATAGCTCACTGCAGCCTTGAATTCCTAGGCTCAAAGGATCCTCCTGCCTCAGCCTCCTGAGCAGCTGAGATCACAGGTGCATACCACTGTGCCTGGCTAACTTTTTTAATTTTTTGTAGAGGTGGGGTCTCATTTTACTGCTCTGGCTAATCTTAAACTCCTGGCTTCAAGCATTCTTCCCACATCAGCCTTCCGAAGTGTGAAGATTACAGGTATGACCCACTGCACTCAGCCGAAAGAACATATTTTTAAATCAGCATTCTCTTCTGTTTGCTTCAAATAAATTGTAGTGCTGACCCTAGACCCTATGTTTTAAAGCAGAAATAGCCGAAAACATTCACTGGACTTAAGAATAATTTAATTCAAACTGTCCTATACTTTTGCATATATAAGGGCTGAATGTCATCAAACTCCTATATCAACCAATCAACAGCTATTTTCTCATCAACATTTATTCTTTTGTCCTTTAAAGGTTGCCAGGCTTGCCATCTCCTACGCAAGATAATCCGGCACACACCAAAGCTTTATTATGAGGCATGAAATAATGATGAAGGGATTCAGACAGGGTTCACATTTACATCATCACAAGAAGTCACTCACTTCAGCAGTGAATACATGTCCAGTAAGTTGTTTTGAATGGGGGTCCCAGTGACAGCCCAACGGGCACAGGCTTGTAGCTTGCACACAGCCATGGACGTCTGTACTCGGGGATTCTTCACATTGTGAGCTTCATCCAGTATGATTCGAGCCCAGACTATTCGAAGCAAAGGTGTTGAGGGGCCCTGGAAGAACCACAAGTGAAATCCAGCCACAGTATGGGAAAATGTACATGCCCTCAAGGAAACAAGGAGAAATAGCAGCCAACTATTCAGGACTCACCTTTACCTTTAAGTTTGCTTAGATCAGGTAACTGAAATAAGAATTAAGAAACCCAAGAGTAAAACCTCTCAATTGGTTCAAATAAATAAGTCATTTGAGAGTCTGAGTCTTTGAACTTAAGACGCCTAAGAGTAAAATGGTTTCTAATTTGAGTTTTCTTTTATTCTTTAAATCCAACTTAAGCAATGGCTGTAGACCAGGACTACAACCCGGCATTGAACCTGCAAATTCACTCACTCAATACAGTATTTATTAAATTTACTAAAAATTTTCCAAAAGTCTACTTTTAGCTGTGAGAAGCTAAGCCAGACATAAAAAAACAGTTCCTACCCTCTAGAGCTCAAAATCTAGCAGGGGAAAAAAAATAAGCGTGAGGATAATTACAATACGATGTATATATAGTAAGTCCCACTGGTTAATTCAATACCTAAAGTGGGAATCTGGCTGCTCTTGATGAAACAGCACCTGACCCATAGCAGATACTCAACATCTGCTGAAGAAAAAAAGTCCTACAACTTATGTAAGCACAAGGGGCTGACAGAGGCATTCAAACAAACCGGGGGAAAGTGGAGAGTGGTCCAGAAAAGATTCTTAAAGCAGGTTTAAAAAAATTATCCTGGGAGAAGGAGTGGAGGCAAAGTATTTCATTCGGAGGGAGAGTAGACACACACTGTGACAGAGCATGGCGGAACTACAGATCCCTTGGTATGACTGAGCACGAAGTAGCCCCGAGGAGGGGTAGGGTGTCAGAGAAACGAGCCACATACAGGTAGGGCAAGATCATAAAGAGTCTAATATGGCCGGGCGCGGTGGCTCACGCCTGTAATTCCAGCACTTTGGAAAGCCAAGGCAGGTGGATCACAAGGTCAGGAGATCGAGACCATCCTGGCCAAGAAGGCAAAACCCCAACTGAAATAGAAAAAATTAGCCAGGCATGGTGGCGCATGCCTGTTGTCCCAGCTACTGAGGAGGCTGAGGCAGAGGAATCGCTTGAACCCAGGCGGCAGAGGTTGCAGTGAGCTGAGATCACACCACTGCACTCCAGCCTGGACGACAGAGTGAGACTCTGTCTCGAAATAAGTAAGTAAATAAATAAAGAGCCTAATACATCATGAAAAGAAATTTGGGGTTTATCCCAAAGGCAATGGCGATCCACTGAGGAATCTGAAAAGTTCATCATCCATAAGTCAGAGTTGGTTATAATCTGCAGAAATATCCTAGAGATGTCTCCAAATACAGTAACCTGTGAATATCCTGTTGTGCTAAAAGGATAACACGCAGAAAGGTGAGTTCTTGGGATGATACTGTATCTCTGGAGTGTAATTACATGATAAAGCCTCTGTATCATATAACTGAGGCTGCCCTGGACCCCCCAGAAGACCCTCAGGTCTTCATGATTGTCACTTAGCCTCTGGCCCACTATAGCCCTATTATTTGCAACCCTTTTTTTCTGGGAAGTAAAGGGAGGCAGGAAATGATGGCTTAAAATCAAAATACTAGTAGTAAAATACTAGTCTGCACAATAAACATTAAAACTATAATGTGTATATACCCCAAATACTGTAAAATAAAAATAACAGCAAGTGAGCCTTTCATGTATTCAGGTGATTATTTCCCCGCCCCCATCATATATAATGTAGTCATCTTTCGTTCTAAAAGGGCAGCTGAATCCTGTGGCATATGTCGACCTTTATCACATATGATGGTTGTCTGGAATAAGGATAGGACAGAGGAAAGAACGATTCCTTTCCCCACGTGGAACAGACAGCACCCCCGACCTCCCAGGGAGGTCCTCCTGCTATCGTGGAAGCTGTGAAAGACTCCTATTAAACCATCTGTGGCTCCAGCTCCACTTCCCTGGCCGCCCCCAGCCTCACCTCCACACTGAGGTTTGCACCTGGGATGTTTGCCTCTTGCTTGTTTGTGGGAATCTCCTTGGCCACGAGGCTATAGGTAGTGATCACGATGTCATATGTAGAGAGGCTGCATAGACATAACAAAGAAATCAATAAATGGTCCCATTAGAGAGTGACAATGAGAGGGGCAGAGCTGATCTTTCAATAAAAATGCCTACAAATGGAAGGACAAACAGCAGAACTCATAGCTTGTGTCCTTACACACACACACACACACACACACACACAATTTTGGAAGTAAATTTTCCCCACTTGGTTTCCCTATCTCTTTTTTTTTTTTTTTTTTTTTTTTTTTTTGTGAGACAGAGTTTCGCTCTTGTTACCCAGGCTGGAGTGCAATGGCGCGATCTCAGCTCACCGCAACCTCTGCCTCCTGGGTTCAGGCAATTCTCCTGCCTCAGCCCCCTGAGTAGCTGGGATTACAGGCACGCGCCACCATGCCCAGCTAATTTTTTTTTGTATTTTTAGTAGAGACGGGGTTTCACCATGTTGACCAGGATGGTCTCGATCTCTTGACCTTGTGATCCACCCGCCTCGGCCTCCCAAAGTGCTGAGATTACAGGCTTGAGCCACCGCGCCCGGCCGGTTTCCCTATCTCTTACCTCTGATCATTTACCGTCTGCTCACTACAGCTACCACAGCCCCTCTCTTCCCATCTAATGAGTCAGAAAGAAAAATCTCTGGCTGGGATAATGTAATGGTTGATATGATCTGGCCAGAACAGCAAGTAGGATAGAGTTGGGAATCAACATTTAATAATGATTTGAGACAGATGACACCAAAGTCCCAAGGGAGAGAGACACCCTCAAAGCACTGTTCACCTTTCATCAAGGGTGCTTTCTTCCTACCACTTTACAATGGAGTTGTGAAAATTCGCTGGTCTAGTTTGACACTAGGATATAAAAATACATGCTGTAAGCTTTCAGTGCATCTTTTTATGCTCGTTACATAGAAAGATTCTTAATGAGAAACACAAATCTTTTTCCAGTGAAGCTTAATATTGTATATCTGAGAGAGTATCAATAAATATTTTATTTATTTATTTATTTATTTTTTGAGAGAAGGTAGGGTCTCTATCCTGTCTCAAAAGTAAAAATAAAATAATATAGTATTTATTGAAATAATTAAAATCCTGCTAATCATAGATCAAGCCAAGTTTATATTAAAAAGGAAAAAAAAATTACTTATAATTAGCATACTCAGCATCAGAAATGACATAATAGGTGAGTAATCTACCCTGGTCCCCCAGGCTGGATTGTAGGGCTGTCATCTTGGCTCGCTGCAACGTCCACCTTCCAGGCTCAACCAAACCGTCCACCTCAGCCTCTCAAGTAAATGGGACCACAAGTACACACCGCCACACCCAACTAATTTTTGTATTTTTGGTAGAGGCAGGGTTTCACCATGTTGCGTAGGCTGGTCTTGGACTCCTGAGCTCAAGTAATCCACCTGCCTCGGCCTCCCAAAATGTTGGGATTACAGGTATGAGCCGCTGTGCCCGGCCCCAAGAGAACTTCAATAAATACTTTTGATAAAAATGATACGCCTAATTCAGAGAGGCAGCAGTGTCTGTAAGTTACCCTAGCATCATATAAAGAAGTGTAATTGAGAATGACTCTAATCAGTCAACTAGTTCATTCTAAATACCAAACAAGTTATGCTCAAAGTACAAATCAAGTCAGATTCAATTTATTTCTAAATAAAAATTTAGAACAAAGGCAGGCAACTCACACTAATCTATGCCAGGGAAGGCCTACAGGCCTGCCACTGCCACCCTGATGCCTTTTGCCTGCAGAAGCGACTCTCTGTCGTGAAAACTGGCGTGTCGTAAGACTCAGGGGCACCGATCTGACAACTTACTCCTGAAAGACTGTGGCCCTGTTCTTTAGGAGATAAAATATCCAAATTAGAGGCTGGAGAGATAAATTACTTGGAAGTACAAATAGCTTTGTTCTCATTCTTGACTACAGCAGCCAGTATTCAACCTAGATCTTCACTGTGCAATTAGGAACAGAAAACAATTCCTTTAAAATCAAAAGACAAAGACTAGGACTAAGAGTACCATGTTGGGAAGCATTTTCTTTCCTTTTTCCTGAGCCTCCCTCTTCAAGAATTTATAGTTAGGTCTAATCTTCCTAAATTCTTGAGTCTAAAACATCTTAGATGGTTTATTTATAAAAAGGAGTCATTCAAATACAATCAAACTATAGCAACTCATCATTAGCATTCCACCAAGATGCTCTGTAGAACTGGGCTGGCTCCATTCACACTACATACCCCTGGAATCAGAACTCCAGCAGCTATGAGGGCCTTTGCAACATTTATCTCTTTGACTAGGGGAATGCTGCGGCCACCTGACTGGCAGCTCAGGGATCTCAGGCCTCCTCACAGGGCAGCTTTTGTTGAGGACAGTGACAAGGACGCAGCAAAAGATCCTCAGTAGTTCTCAGGATACAAGGCGAAGGCTGTGTGGTGATGAGACTCAAGATCTGTCTTGGGCCTTCACAAATATGCATCCTGATGAAGTGAATTCGCAGGGACGGGAGAAAAGGCCCATAGGAGCTTGAACAGAGGTGCTGAACGCCCCCACAACTGCGTATTTCTGCACTTACACTCTGGCACGTGAATCCCGGTTTGGCCCATGGTAGAGATAGACTCTTAGTTTGTTGCTGTTCACCCGTTTTTCCACCTCGTTTTTCCAATGATGGATCAGGGAGGCAGGACAGATGATTAGTGTTCCATGGGAAGTAAAGTTAGAAGAGTCTTGAGAAGGGAAAAAAAAAAAAAAATCAATGCCTAGTTACAGTCACCAAATGGCTTTTAACTTTTTTTTTTCTTTTAAATATACAGAGACATGGTCTTGCTGTGTTACCCAGGCTGGTCTCGAACTCTTGGGCTCAAGTAATCCTCCTGCCTTAGCTTCCCAAAGTGAGATGACAGGTGTGAGTCATCGTGTTTGGCCTTTAACTTAAAGGCACTAGCTCTTCCTCTTGACTGACTTTACTCCTTCAATTAGTATGTTTAACCACTGCTCTTATTTCTATACAGAGCCTATAGTGAGATAGGAAATGGAAGAAATGGTCTTTTAAACTTGAAACACTTAATTACTTATTTTTCTCCGCTGAAAGTACAGGCAGAAAGAGAGGCTAAATAGGGGGAGGGAGGTGGGTGGCACATAACCTCAGTGTAAAAAAGCAATGCGCTTTCACAGAGCGGCCAGAGGTGAGAGCTGGATCATTTCCTAACTCCTCTGACTTGACTCATTACAGGGGAGTATGGCGTATTGTTATTTGTTCTGAAAAGCATAACTTAATGTACTTCTACCTTAAAATTCAGTACAGAAAACTTTTTTTCTAAAATAAGCAAACATAGGTTTAGAACCAATTAGTGATGGTTTGTTTATACCACAGCCCCTCATCTCTGCACGTGTGTGTGTGCTTATGCTACTCACACATGCTGCTACTACACACGAAGGGATACAGGACCCAGCTGCAGCCGTGCTCACTAGAGGCCCTGAGAGCAGATGCCACAGGTTTTTAATCTATCTAAGCAACTGAGCACTCTGCTTGAATACACAGCAATTTACATGTAGTGTTATCTGTACATAACATAATCTTTAAAGTACTTATAAAGTTATTACTTTTTATTTAACTTTTTTTTAAGAGGCGGTATCTTGCTATGTTGCCCAGGTTGGCCTCAAGCTCCCAGGCTCAAGCAATTCTCCTGCCTCTCCTTCCTCAATTGGGACTACAGGTGCTACCAATGAGTCTGACTAAAGTTATTACGTTTTAAAAACATAGGCTGAGATAAGATAGAAATTGTCTATAATCTAGGAACTTTTAGAATTTCAGAAACATGGAAAATAGCTTCCACTATAGTGACTAAAATGTGAATTTGTGACAGATCTTCCTTAAAAAAAAAAATTAATTAATTTGAATCTACCCCGTAGTTATTTCTTCAATATTTACAAAAATAATAATTTTTAGCCAGGCATGGTGGTTCACACCTATAATCCCAGCACTTTGGAAAGCCGAGGCAGGATGACTGCTTGAGCCCTGTTGTTTGAGACCAGCCTGGGCGGCATGGTGAGACTCTCTCTACAAAAAATTAAAAAATCAGCTGGGTGTGGTGATGCGCACTTGTGGTCTCAGCTACTTGGGAGGCTGAGGTGGGAGGATCACTTGAGCCCAGGAGGTTTAGGCTGTAATAAGCTATGTGCATGCCACTGCACTTCAGCCTGGGCAACAGAGTGAGACCGTGTCTCAAAAAATAAGAATTATTATTATGCTTAAACTAAGTCTTCTAGAGCCTCAGCTTTTTCCATAAGATTCTGCCAATCACAGATCAAGTCAAGTTTACATTAAAAGAGAAAAAATAATCATTTATAATTAGCATATTCAGCATCAGAAATGATACAATAGGGGAGTAATCTAATACTGGTTTCCCAGTAGAGTAATTAAACATAACCAAAGGTATCCTTCTGTAGCTGAAAACGTTCCCCTCTTGGCTGGCTCAAATGACGTGGGGGATGGCGGGCTATGAAGGCATTTCTGTCTACCGTCTTTGGAGAGCCACATTAAAGCTGTGCTTTTCTCCTTTTCTCTGTTTTTCTCTTGATTCTTCTGGGTCAGGATGAGTGCAATCATTGTCAGGGTTTTTCCTAAGCCCATATCATCCGCTAGAAAATAAAAGCAAAATTAAACAGAGTTAATTGCTTAAGGCAAAGAATCAACCCTACTGCAAGAGGACAAACAACTGGCAGACATTTACCCCTCGTTCTCCATGCTGTCGGAGCCACTCCAGTCACTACTCTGTGTCTACCTTAGCGGTGAACTTTGTCTTCCTTATTCCCATGGAACCCCAGAACGTGCTATTTACTTTGAGATCTAGGTCCAAGACATTTACCGTGACTCTTAAAAAGTTTAAAACTTACAGTTTGGATCTTATTCTAGTCCCTATGTTATGTTATTACCTGTGTAATGTGCTGGTTATCTTATTACAGTTTGATGATCTGTTACCTCCAAAAGTAAAAAATGTCCAGTAGATCTATCCCACTACTTACTTGACTGGTACCAGAACATTTCTGGAGTTAAAACAGCCTTCCATTCCCTTAACTTCTTCACAAAAAGAGACATAAATGAACATTTCTTGTGTACTGTCATTGTACCAATCACTGAGCTTATCTAATTTATTATTCATACCCTACAGAGTACTATTCTCCTCATTTTAACAGACTGTAACACTGAGGCTACTATACCCATTCAAAATAATTCTACCATAACAGAAGTAGAATGTCAGAGCACGGGCTCTGATTTAAATTCTGGCTCTGCTACTGTCCAGAAAAATAATTAACATACCAGGCCCGTAGGCTCGCCTGTTATCCTTTGAAAGGCCTGCTTACAAGATTGCCTCTGCAAACTCGGATTTAAGGTAAGAGTTGAAAACTCTGCCTGAACTGTTTGTACAAACAATTCAATTTATGTTGAATGTCTGCTTTCCTTCTAGGAATAAAAAAACTTGGTACATACCAGGCTAAGGCCACCTATGTAACCAGCTGAACCCACCTATGTAACCAGCCCCCAGTAAAAACCTTGGGCACTGAAGCTCTAATGAGCTTCCTAGGAAACATTTGATGCCTGTTGTCACAACTCCCTGCTGGGAGAATTAAGCATATCCCATGTGACTCCACTGGGAGGACGCTGGAAGCCTGCACCTGGTTTCCCCTGGATTTTGCCCCTGTGCCTTTTCCTTTTGTTGATTTTGATATGTATTCTTTCACTGTAATAAATCATAGCTGTGAGTGTGACCATATGCTGGGTCCTAATAGCAAATCGTCGAGCCTGGAGGTGGTCTTGAGGACCACTGACACAGTCACTTACTGGACACAGTGGACATCTAACATGGTTTCTCAAAGTTGGGCACCTTGGAAAATTTTAGCCGGACAAGACTCCAAAGCAATGTGGAAAACTTGCTTTCCGGTTTCTGTTGCAGCTAAGGCACTGGTAATATGACCTGGCTCTATACATCAGATGTTCTCATAAACATCTTTAATTCAGGTATAAGCAGCTTTATAAAGAAACTCCCTGTGAAACCCTTTTGCAGGAAAGAGTGGCTATAGAAGAAACTGACTTTGGGGTGGCACTGGTTACCTCTAGCGCTTGGTGAAGCAAAGAAGCTGTGATGCTTTTTATAGATTTCTGTTAGGCCAGGCGCGGTGGCGCACACCTGTAGTCCCAATACTTTGGGAGGCCAAGGTGGGTGGATCACCTGAGGTCAGGAGTTCGAGACCAGTCTGCCCAACATGGCGAAACCCCATCTCTACTAAAAATACAAAAAATTAGCTGGGCATGGTGGCAAGCGCCTGTAATCCCAGCTACTTTGGAGGCTGAGGCAGAAGAATTGCTTGAACCAGGGAGGTGGAGGTTGCAGTGAGCTGAGATGATGCCACTGCATTCCAGCCTGGTCAACAAGAGCAAAACTCCGTCTCAAAAAAAAAAAAAAGAGAGAGGCAATAGACTACTGTTTGTGTATTGGCTGTAGCCATGCTCCTGAAACTGGCCTCAAGTCTGGCACTCCACATCTCCCAGAGATTGTGGGAGCCACCAAATAATAAACTCCCCCTCTGCTTAATCAGCCAGAGTCAGCTTCTCCTGCTGGCACCCAGCACCTCTGACCCTACAGCTGTGTACTCTTGAGCAAGTTGCTTAACACTTCCATGCTTCCCTTTCGTCATCTGTAAAATGAGGAATGATAGCAGCTGCCTCGCAGAGTTCTTGAGAGGATTAAATGAAACAACACTATGCGTTTAGCACAATGCCTAAGCATTCAATAAAGCCTGGCTCTTAGAATAGCACACTTACCCAGAATTCCTCCTTGTGGCTTCTGACTTTCCCGCCATAGTAACCAAGCCAATGCCTGCTTCTGGTGTAGTAGCAAAGGGACCTGACAAAGGTAATAACCAAATGCTAAGCACAAATTCCTAATGAGAGGCTATGCCGAGCCTGGCTACACGACCTCTACGCTCGACTCTTTTATTTTCTACAAGCGATCCCCTCAGCATTCTAACTGTCTTCATGTAGACCATTCCTTTCACCCTGAAGTCCTTAACAGCACCCTCTCTTTGAGGGTAACCACACTGTCCTGGTCTGCCCGTTTGTTTTGGGTTGCATCTAATGTTAAGCATTTCTATTAAGAGTCCTCCCTACACCCTAAGTCAAAGTCCTGATTTGTCTGTTTCAACAGTCAAAATCATTCTCTACAGCTTTAATTTTTTCATCTTTATTTTTTTTTAGACAGTCTCGCTCTGTTGCCCATGCTGGAATGCAGTGGCATGATCTCAGCTCACTGCAGCCTCTGCCTCCCAAGTTCAAGCAATTCTCCTGCCTCGGCCCCCACCCCGAGTAGCTGGGATTACAGGTGCACGAGACCACGCTCAGCTAATTTTTGTATTTTTAGTAGAGACAGGGTTTCACCATGTTGGCCAGGCTGGTCTTGAACTCCTGGCCTCAAGTGATCTGCTCGCCTGAGCCTCCCAAAGTGCTGGGATTATAGGTATGAGCCACTGCGCCCAGCTCTATCCTTTTGACCAAGACCTCTGACTCTACTTTCAGCAGCCATTATGTTGGCTTTTCATCATTCCCTCATTATCTCTTAAATTTGCCTCTTTTCTGCAGCCAGAGTCCCCGTCTGCACTACTAGTCATAAATTTCAATAGCCCTTTGACCAGAGTCCTCCTTCTAGTCCTTCAGTACTCCAGTTTATCTTGTACTCTGTGAGAAAAACTAATCTTCATCTGCCGTCCCTGCTTAAATGCTACAGTGATTCCGTACTATCTCTTGAGCTCTTCAGATCTAATCCTTCACCAAGGCCAGGCTCCTGCTCAGTAACGTCACCTGCTACGGCTGGCTCAGGTACTGATGACACCTGATCATCACTTAATACCAATCTCTTTATCTTCCCACTAATCACCACTCCCTCTAATTGTGGCGTTTTGTTCCTTTCCTGTCTGCTACCTTAAGGCTTTCCATTCCTTTAACGCACAAAGTAGGCAGACAACAAATAATCACTGGCCTAGAGTGACGTTTCCTTTCATCTGAATCCCTTTTGGACTTTATGGTATATTACAAGGCACACTTTATTTCTGCCTTAAAGCCTTTGTTGATTGTTTTATATATACTGTATATGTATTTTCACCCCAACTAGTTCATTACAAGCAGCAATTCTTTCACATTCTTGTGGCATCCACCAACTCAATAAATGAATCCTTTACTTTCACAGAACTATGTAACTTTATGACTTTAAAAAAGGAGTTTCGTTGTTATCGTTTGCACTGTTAAGCATAAAAGGAGAGGATTCTGCAAGGGAAGCCATGAAAGCATCTATCTGTAGGGAAGGTATCTCAGAAAGTCTCCCTGCTGCTAGAGCACTGTTGTAGGAGACTGTACCATGAGCCTCCCCTGGCTCACCTTCAGCCCAGCAGGATCTTCTGCCACCTCAGTCTCACCAGGACGTGACTCTAATGAGCGATGGAGCTCATCAATGGCTTCACCTGTGATCTTCCACACTGGGTGAACTTGATCTTGGTTTGCATGGCCTACATACAAATAGATGTTACCTAAAAGATGTCACAAGTATGTTTTCCTTATCCCTTTAGAGTATCCTTAGCTACAAATGGCCCTGTATCTATTTCTTACCCTCCTTGTTAACTATTCTTCTCAGCTTTCTACTCCTCTAGGAGTTCTCAATCGGGAGACAGCTGGCTTTTGCTTTTCTAGTCACTGCCAGCCAATCCGAGCTCCTATCTCCTGATCAGTTTCCTGTCAACTGATCCTATTACACATTTCAGTTCTACTTAGAATTTTCATTGTGCAGTTACTTCCGAACTCAAAGTTGTCTAGAAAGTTCAGGAAGGAAACTCTTAGCTAATCGGGTGTTACTGCTCTCTGTGGATCTATTAGTCACCAATCTTGACTCACGTCTCTCCTCAATCTTAACACAGACACACAGACACAGACACACACACACACACACACACACACACACACACACGAAGGAATAAGAACATATCTGCAGGTCTGCCTACCTCATAAGGATGTGAGCTGGAGTTTTCATTCACAAATACTGACTGGATGACTCCTATGGGCCAGCCCACTGGGCTGACCCATAGGAGTCATACAGTGGTGAACAGGGTGGACGCAGTCTGTGCCCTCACTGAGAGCTGAGTAACACTGTGCAAAGCTCTACTGGGCAGCACAATCTTTATTATATGGGCAACTTATGACTTAAGAATGGCTTCTCCCCTCATGTGGGCACTAAGTCATCTATAGTAGGCCCCTCTTACCCACAGGACATATGTTGCAAGACCCCCAGAGGATGCTTGAAACTGTGGATGATACTGAATCCTACACATACTATGTTTTTTCCCCCCATACATACAAACCTATGATAAACTTTAATAAATTAGGGACAGGAAGAGTTTAACAACAACAACAACAACAAAATAGAATAATTGTAACAATCTACTGTAATAAAAGTTATGTGCAGGTGGTCTCCATCTCTTTCTGTCTCAAAATATCTTACTGTACTGTACTCACCTCTTTCTGGACCACAGGTGATCAAGGGTAACAAAGTGTGCATAAGAGATAACTACTGTACCAGGTGGCACGTGACTCACAGGGGTGGCTGTTCACAGCAGGGCCAGGCCCTTGGGTCTTACCTGGATAGCACTGACTGGATCCTCCAGCAGTTACCTGGCAGGCAGACTTTAGCCCTAGAGAACCCACAGATTGGGTACCACAACCAGGAAGGGGTTGGGGAGGCACCAGGTGGGGAGGGTCTGTGGTAGTTTTGGTGAAGTGACTCTGCTCTGGTACTTGAGTGTGACTCTTCTCACTAGTTCCTGTTCAGAAAACAAGGGAGAAGGAGATTAAAGTTCAGCAGACTAAGTGAAGGGATCCTATGTGTGGAGGTGAGGTCAAGAGAGAGGGGTCATCACCACTCCAATGAAGGCTTCCTAGAGAACATAGCATTTTAACAGCTGCTTAAACAATGGGGAAGAAAGTACAGTCCACAGGAAATAGGAGAAAAGTGGTTTTTTTGTTATTTTTTTTTTTGAGACGAAGTTTCGCTCTCGTTGCCCAGGCTGGAGTGCAATGACGCAATCTCGGCTCACCATAACCTCCGCCTCCCAGGTTCAAGTGATCCCCCTGCCTCAGCCTCCCGAGTAGCTGGGATTACAGGCATGCACCACCACACCGGGCTAATTTTGTATTTTCAGTAGATACAGGGTTTCTCCATATTGGTCAGGCTGGTCTCAAACTCCCAACCTCTGATGTTCTGCCCGACTCAGCCTCCCAAAGTGCTGGGATTACAGGTGTGAGTCACTGTGCCCGGCAGGGAGAGTTTTTCTAGGAACCATAGGTGTAATGTCAACGAAGGCTCAGAAGCAGGTAATAAAATGGAAAAGTGAATGCATCAACACATTCTTTACCAAAAACGCTTCCCAAATGCCCCTTGTAAAGTCCATACAAACCCTGAGTTCTGAGGCATAAGCCACTTTACCTTGCTCTGGGGCAAGGGCAAGACCACTGAGGGCTTCCTCCAGCGCCTGGATTTGTTTGATCAACTTCTGACCCTTGTCTGGAAGAGCGTGGATGTTCACTGATGCCAGTGTGCTCTGAAAAACAGATCCCATCAAATGGATCTCTCCTCTCACATTGTTAGATGACTAGTTTCAGATTAAAATAGCCTGAAACGCCCAAACTCTGAAATTATGTTCTTTTTATGTGTGTAAAAACCTGAATCTTTAAAAAATGTTAACCCAGCTGGCTTACCAATCTTGAAAATATAAATAGGGGAAAAGGCAGAAACTAAACATGCACCTATAAAAGCTCCACATGAACACATTTAACCCTTCTGTAGCAATGAGAGCTCCTATCTGCCCATAGCAAGCAATGCTCTGACCTCAAAAAACACGAGTCAAGAGTTACCTTCTTCTGTTTCAGTTGTGTTGTCAGGTAGACACGCTGGGCTGCTGGGTCTGAGGGTTCTACCTTGGCGGAAACATCTGAGGCAGGAGGTACCTGTCTTTGCACACTTCGATCAGGGAATTGGAGGCTCTCCTTCCTCTGTAAGTCCAGAGCCGAGTCAAAGAGTAGGGGGCTTGCAGGCTTAGAGGAAACGAAAACATCATCTTCCTCTTCCTCATCACTGCTCGTGGCAGCTTCACGGCCCTCGCCCAGGGAAAGCCCTGGTGCTGCTGGCGCGGCCTGAACCGCTGGTCCTCCAGGAGCAGGCACACCACGGGTCTCTGGGCTCTCTTGGAGATGCTCCCGGGGCAGGATTTTCTGGGTGGCCTGTGTGCTGGGGTCATCCTTTGCCTTTGCTTCTTTAGCCTCCCAGTTCTTGTACCCCTTGCTGAGGGGGCCCCCTTCCCGGGGCTTGCTTACTGGGTTGAGACTGTTACCTCTTTGAGACAAAAGCTGGGTCTCCTTTTTTCTCAGAGGTTCTGATTCTCTTTGGACATCTTGATTCTTCCCACTTGAGTTCTCCTGAGAAGATGCAGACGACCCTGTCAGCTCACTGCGGTGGCATGGTTTGGATGTAATTTCAGACAAGTTTCCTTTGTGTGTGCCTCTGGTCTCCTCCGCCTCCCGATGAATCTCTGCTCTCTCTTCTTGCTTCTTCTCTTGAAGTACAGGTTGTTTTTTCTTCAGCACCAGGCCAGATGAGAGATCTTTCTCCACTGGTTCAGGCTTCTGTTCCTTCTTTTGATGGAATTGCTGATCTCCCTTTTCTTTTTGCCTCTTATCAGCTGTGTTTTCCTCACCTTCACCTTTGATGAGCTGTTTCCAGAGAGCTGGCTCTTGATTCTTGTCCAGTACCTTGAATGGATTTCTCGGCCGGCTGGAAGGATGATGAAATGTCTCTGATGCATGCTGAGACTTACTGGGTACAGAATGTTCTTTGGAATCAGGATCCTAAAGGCAAAATTATTAATCTTCATATAAAATATTAATGCAAACTTCACATCTAGAATGTCTTTCCTTTTCATCTCAACTTTTATTTCACATACAGGGGGTACACGTGCAGCTTTGTTACATGAGTATATTGCACTCAGGCAGTGAGCACAGTACCCAGGAGATAGTTTTTAACCCATGCCCTCCTCCCCCCGTCGTAGTTCACAGTATCTACTGTTCCTGTGTTTATGGGTGCTCAATGTTTAGCTCCTGCTTTAAGTAAGAACATGTGATATTTGGTTCTCTGTTCCTACGTTAATTCACTTAGGATTATTTTGTAGAAGAAACGGAAACCCAGTAGAAGCAGTCCTATATTTCCTGAACATTCTTGGTATCATTTCTGTGTCTACAACAGAAAATACACCAAACCCACAAAGGACCAGTTCTTAACAGTACTTTCAACAGTGCCTTCTGTCCATGATCACACTTTTCCAGGCCTCAAGGAAAAGTAGTGACCAAACCCAAGTGCTTTTACATCACAATGGCCACAGTGTATACTTTTCAGGAAAACTACCTTAAGATAAACTTTTCCCCCGAACCTAAACATTGTCTTAAAATGCTTGCTTTGATTTTGGCTTTAGCAAGATTTTACTGTGGTGATCTAGAATCTTAAATTCAAGCCAAACCTCTACCAAAACAAGTCTTATCACCTCCCTGATTCTAGCTCCTCATGTACTGGGCATCTGTAAGGCTTCTCCTATTAGGAGGTGCTGCTCCTCCTAGGTCTAACATTCTAGGAGCTTATGCATTAGACTTAGCTTATGCCAATATCAAGTAGAAATTCCTCTATTAAAAGGTATAAGAGTTAGTCAAGGAAATCTAATTTTTTTCTTAACTAAAAGAATACTAAGACCTCAAAAATAGCTAGTAAGTGAAATAGGATGCAAATAATTAATCTTGATTACAACCAAATGATCCTTTGAATTAAAGTCCCAACAGGGCCTACCTTGCTTAAGGAAAACTATCTTTCAGAGACAGTTTGATGAAGACCAACTCGTTTGTGTGAACTTCAAGGCCTTTTCAGGTGAAGCTGCTCAGTAAAAGTCTTAACACAGCAGGTTTGAAAACCAATGAATAATTCCTACCTGCCATGGAATACTTCCACACCAGTGTTTCCCCTCTGTCTTACTTCGAATGCATCGGAAGAACAATCTAACGGAGTACAAAACACAAATAATCAGCGGTATGAAAATCCATTAGAACAAGAGATAAACTTATTTTTAATCCAAGAAAACATCTTGCAACTATTTGATACTGGCTTTGGGAAGTCACTTGAAACCCACTACTTTTGTATACACATTTAAAAATTATTTACTGCACAGGACATTTTATATCTTATTTATATATTATTATCATTCTATATTAAAAATTATTTACGCACAAAACATTTTATAAGGGCTGGGAAGTCAAAGAATAAATATGCCACGGTAGCCAGAGAATGCACACAGGTTTTTTCTTCTTCGTCTGTGAAGAATGACTGAAATAGAAACACTGATCAGCAATGGCCACTAAAATTAGAAAAATGAGAGAGAACCAGACACTGTGTGTCCCTGAAGGGGGGCCACCACACTATACAGCAATGTTGCCAAAAAATCCTAAAACCACCAAGCCAAAACAAACAAAAAACTAACCTCTGGATCCAATGACCAATTTGTAGGAAATAGAAACCACCGAGGAATGCATAAAATTAGACCATGGGGAATACAAATTGCAAAATCTTGCAGTGGGAAGTGAGATAGGACAAACAACCTGATCTCTTCAATAAATAAGTTACAAAGGAGGGGAAAAAAAGATGATGGAAAACGTAAGAGACTTAAAAGACATATTAATCAATTCCAATTTGTGAACCTTATTTGGATCCCGATTTACACAAATAAACAAAAACTGCTAAAAAAAAAAAAAAAAAAAAAAAAAAACCAAAACAAAACCTATGACATTTATGAATCCACTGAAAATCTATCTACTAACTGGTATGTAAGGAAGAGTCCGGCTGGATGCAGCGGCACACACCTGTAGTCCCGCCTACGCAGCAGGCTGAGACAGGAGGATCACCTGAGGTCAGGGCTGAGCTGTGCTAAGATTATGCCTGTGAACAGCCACTGCATCCAAACCTGGGCAACATAGCAAGACTCCCTTCTCTAAAACATAAAAATACTTTTTAAAAAAATAGTCCGTATCTTTTAAAGCTACGCACTAAAATATGGACAGATGAAATAATGTTACCTGGGATTTCTTTCAAAACAGGGCAGGAGTTATGGGGTGAAGTGGCTAGGGTACACAGAGAACTAGAGTAGCCATGAGCTGGTGATTGTTGAAGCTCATGTTACAGTGCTCTGTCTTCCTTCTGTATATATTTATACTCTTCCATCAAAAAAGAAGGCCGAATGTAGACTTAACATCCCAGTGCAAGAAGTTCCTGTACACACAAACACGGCCCCGTACTCCAGCTATCCAGAGGTGTCTATGCTGTTCCATTCCCGAACTAAGCCACGCACCCTCCAGCCTACCTGACTTTGCATGGGTACTGTTCTTCATCCAGAGGATATCCTCTCACCCCTATCTGTCCACCCTCTCCCCCAACTCCAGCTACACAAGTCCTGCTGGTCCCTCAAGGCCCAGCTTAAGTCATACCCGCTTGATAAGGTTTCCCTACATTCCCTTCCCTGTTTATCTATGAACTGCCTCTGTGCTATTACTTTTAATGGAAAAAAACCACAATTACATTTACACCAACCTAATAAAGCTGACTGTCCAGCTATAAAATATAGCTGACGGTCCAAATATATTTTCAGCTACTAGAGGGCAAAAACCACATATGATCACTTTATTCCCAACTATCCCTAGCCTGTTGTACGTAATTCAGTACTACTGCATAAAATAGAACTGATTTATGTCATTACCTAAAATAACTCCTCAAAAACTTTTGATTAAAGAGCTTTAAAAATATGTATTTTGTTTGTTGAAACAGGTAATGTGTTCAGTTTTAAAATTATTAAAAAGGCAGTGAGATGCCCCCTCACACCCTCTCTGCCCAGTTCACTTCCTGCCCAACACGTAATCGCTCATTAGTTTTTCGTTTACCTTTCCAGAGATTTTTAAATGCATATTGAAGTCAATATAAATATATTCTTCCTTCCTCCTCTACACAAATGGGTAGCATAACATACGTATGGCTAAATACCTTGCGTTTCTTTTACCTAATAAATGCCTTGAAAATTTTCCTATAAGAACACACATGTAAAGAAGTTCCTTTTTATTATTTTTTTTTTTTACAATTGCACTTTTCCACTATATGGGACGTTGCATTGTTTTTAATCAGAACCCTCTCAATCGATGGTTCGGCTGTTTCTTATCCTTTACTATTAAAAGCAGTGGCACAATGAGTGAAACTGCCAATAGGTCATTTCATGTATGTTTCAATACGTCTGTGGTGCAGCTCCTTATTTTTCATATTGTGTATGTGCGCTGTTTTTCTTGACCATGTTAGCCTTTGATTTTCGGTATTAGTTCTCCATATGCTGCTTTCTAACGCATTAAATGCAATTTTTACCAACATTAATTCCTTTCTTCCGCTTTCCCTTCAGTTTAATTTACTGTTCTTTTTCTAACTTCTTAAACCAGTCCCATGATGTACAGCATGAATCACAACAGTCTGCATCCTAATTCAGAAGGAGTCCTGAGCAGGACCTGGTCCCTTGATGCCACCACTTCACCAGGACAAAGATAAACAAGCCCCAAACAGAAAAGTAGTCCATAAACGTTAAGCTAAAAAGAAAATAGGTCCAGCCCCTCCCTCTTGTACAAACACAATTTTCCCATCCAAGTTCACAATTTTTAAAATCTTACTGGTTTCTTTAACTTTTTTCACTGCAATATATTAAACATATGTATTACAATTTCTGAAATGCTTTGAATGCATAAAACTCAAAGTAGCAGCTGTCATCAGTGGGTGCTACTACTTACAGAAATAAATCAAGAACAAATCCCTGCTGTTGTTTAAAGCATATCAAGTACTTGAAGTCTTTACTGAAAGAATATTTCTCAAGTACAGTCACGTGCTGCGTAATGACGTTTCAGTCAACAGTGGACGCCACATGCAACTGTGGTCCCATGAGATGATAAAACTGTATCTTTACTGTACATTTTCTTTATTTAGAGACACAAATACTTAACACTATGTTATGAATGCCTACAATATTCGGGATAGTAACACACTGTACAGGTCTGTAACCTAGGTATGTATTAGGCTATACCAAGTATGTTTGTCTAAGATCATGTTTGCACAACAATGAAATCTCCCAATGATGCATTTCTCAGAATATATCCCCATTGTTAAGTGACTCATGACTGTAGTGTCTACTTTAGAACTCATGCCACGTATACTTTCAGGAGAAGGGCAAGATTTGGAGAAAGAAGGAAGAAAACACACTGAACATCTGCTATGTGCTAGGCAGTGCTAAAAATGCTTTCCCTTACATTTTTAATTAAAATCTATCTGGATGGGCTTCTCTGATTTTAGGATAAAAAGTTTCTGTTTGTTATGTTTATTATATTGTAAATCAACAAAGAATGAAGTAGAAAATATTTTCACAGAGAAAGCAAATATAAATTTCACTATAAAGAAAAGCATTAATTTCTGCAGTATGTTCATTACTTGTTTTCCAGGACAGAGGTTATAGGCAATAATGATGAAGACACCAGCCAGAGGAAGCCAGACCTCTTCAATCCTGTCTTCTCCACCAAAACACAAATCCTCCCTTCTTCCTAAGGGTAAGTGTCCAACCCAATATGACATTGCCAAGTGCATTACTTCAGCAAGACTATGGTTCTCTCAGGCTCCAGGAACTATCCTCCCTTGGCTCGAATCCCAGCCCTGCCATATAATTAGTTCTGAAACATCAGATGCCTTACTTGATTGCCCCCTGTGGCAGTCTCCTCTTCTGTAACATGACAACATAATATGGTACATCCTCATACAGTCGTGATGAGGATGAAGCACAATCAGAGCAAAGCCTGATACATACCAAGGTCCTAAGAGAGGACAGTAATGCCAAACTCACTCTTGCTGACCACCCTGCTTGTTCCTACGTCCGCGGTTCTGCTGAAGCTCTTCCGCCTCAACACTTCCTTGTCCTTTCCTCCATTAAGAATTCACTTTTGATGAATTCAATTTTGATGTCAAGGTCATTCAAGGACATCCTCAAGTCTCAACTCCTCCACTTTCTCAGTAACCTTCCTAGCCCTGAACTGTAGGTCTTAGAGTCACAGAACCATCAGGTATCTGAATGTCTTCAATTTTAGTACTCTGTAATGTGCAGAAGACACTGCACCCCAATCTTGGTATGTCTAACTCTTATTCCAGGTATGTCAAAGGTTCCTTAGGGATTATGAGTTCACGTCTTTACATGCTGCAGCTCTGGAAAAACATAAAGCTGAATTTCTACCTCATTCTTTTGCATGAACATTCAAGATGGGAAAAAAACGTAAAAGTAAAAAACCAAATTGCAAATGTTCTGAGAAAAAAACAGAGATGAATATTCTTGTAGTCGTAAAGTGAAGATGGCTTTTCTAAGCATGGCATAAAACTCTGAGCCTGAGAAATAGAGAATTTAGTAATTTTTCAAAGTTTACACTTCCATGTGATGAAAATACTATAAGCAAAACTATAAAACAAAAAGTAAACTGGGAAAACGTAATTGCCGCACATACTACAAAGGGTTAATATCCTTTAACCACAGGGACTGCTCCCATTGCACAGCACAGTGCATGATACTGTACACGGCCTCAAAGTATGGCTTTATTCAGTGGGTGCTTCAAGCTGGTGGGGCCCGAGGTACTGGCTGGGTCTGGTGCATGTCTGGTTGCCTCTCCATCATCAGCCTGCTCACTATACTAGGGCTAGATAACCCACAAGTCAATTTCACCCAATAGCCAACAACATGAGGAGTTTTCTAGACATCAGAAGTTTCAAGGGTTATTAAAAGTAAAATATTTTGAACATCTCACCACAGCCAGTTATTTAAAGAACTAAAACTTGTTATATCCACATCTATAAATATTTCCATTTACTTTGACCCTGTGTCCTTGAGAGTGAAAGTTCTGTGAGAAACAGAGAGAAAGGAAAACATAAACTCAGGAGCTCAGTGACAATG